TTTTCGGATGTACCTACTACGTGATTTTTATTTTTGATTATAAACTACATAATAGGTATGTACTCCGGACGCTTCGGTTACTTTACAGCAACCGTGATCGGGGGCAGACAAGATGTGTAATCAAAAATAAAAATTGCTTAGTGAATCTTAACATATGTGATATGACTAAAAAGTTATATATTTCTCAGTCATTTATATTATGTACTAGCTGACCCAGCAGACTTCGTACTGCCTCAATAAATAAATAATTTTTTATTTATATTTTTGGAGTTTACCTATAAGTCATAAATCTCCGTGTTCTGAAGTGCGACGAAATGATTGACTTATTAGTTAGTTGTCAAAAAAACGTTTATATGGGAAATAGAAAAGGACTGTTTTTAAGGTTTTCCCGAAAATTAATCATTTTTTTCAGCTTCTATACCTTCCCTGAACCTCCACGAACATTTCAATAAGATAAATCCTTTCAGCCGTTCTAGAGTTTTAGTGAGACTAACGAACAGCAATTCATTTATATATATATAGATTGTTTTCGTTTCATTATCACGGCTTCCTTAATTACTAGGACAATGAGTTAAAATATTGACATTAACTTTATAATGTGTACCGTGTGAGGTAAGCATGATATCACTAGATATATATGTATAACAATGACATACATACATACAAACATTCATAATCTGACATCAAATATGTGACGCATTAGATATACTAAGAAGACTTCTCTTCTTCTTCTACCTGGCAATTTCCCAGCTTTAGCCAGGGTCTGCTTACATGTTGTGGATAGTTTTGGCTAATTGTTTATATCAACCCTCTTTGGGAATGCATTAATCAGTGATGTCTAAATACTCCTAGAAAGTAAAGATAACTTTTCTGTATTTTGTTAATATGCAAGAAATTACTCAGTAATCATTTGATATTATAAAATTATCCATAACTTTCTTGTTCAGTAGAAGTAATAGTTTTGATCGCATAATCTGCTAAGAATGCTTGTACTTTCAATATTAATTATTTTTTCTATGTTCTGTCAAGTAATAAATGCAGAGATCTTGAGTATTAAATCTAAATAAAAAGAATGTCAATAACCAATTTATTTTCTCTTGAAGCTATTTAAATTTTAATATAAAGTATATAAATTTAGAGGATTGATTTTTAAGGTAAAAGAGATGCAATTGTGTGTTCTGAATGGGATAGAGGTTATTTTTGTGTTTTTTCTTACACCATAAAAAATATTGCGATATCTAATTATTTTTATAAGAACTACATATTCAAGTAATGTGAATTCTCTAGCACATAGGAAAACTCCATTATATATCGACATAGACAAAGTCGGAAGTAAAGTTAGTTAATATTAATAGTATGAGAATAAAATACGATATGAAAACGTAACTCCCGATATTGATTTTGTATGGTGTATGATTTTAATTATTTAAATTCATTCATATTATAATGAAATCATTTCAAACTAGAAAGTTTAGATCAAATTTAAATAATAAATGAAATTTAATAAATTAATTTTATTTTTATATCATTGCGGTTTTCGGGACAGATATTATGATAATATATTTAAGTATCTGACTGATTGTAATCTGACTTTTATTAATTATTATTAAAATATAGTAAGAGGATCATAAAAATTTATACGATAATAAATTACAAAAAAAAATGAAATTATATTCAATAGAGGTTATTTACTATGCAATTATGTAATTTTAATTTTGTTTTTATTTAAAAATATCAACCATTTTACATTTAAATATGAAAGAAAGTTGCGGTAAATAGATACAATCACATATATGTGTGTGTTTGTGAATGTGTGTGTGTGTGTTTGTGTGTGTGTGTATTCAGTAGTTAATACTGTGATAACACCAATTGATATTTATAATTATCGTACGAACACAGATATGGCATGATACTTATTTTTGGACTATATAGGGTAAATATAGGGAAATTTAATTTAATGCAATATGTTGCAATTGTATAATTTATTCATACTAAAGAGGATGTATATATAATGTTTTGTCGGTCTGAATGTAACGTTACCCAGTCGGAATACGGATGAGAGTTCCATTGGAATCTAACAATTATAAACTACTAGCTTTCCGCCCGCAGCTTCACCCGCGTGGAGTTTGGTTATATCGCGCTTCCAAAAGAACCTTTCAAAAGTCTGGGATAAAAACTATCCTATGTTCTTTCTCAAGGTCGACTGTATATCTGTACCAAATTTCATTAAAATCAGTTCAATGGTTTAGGCGTTAAAGCGTAACAGACAGAGTTACTTTCGCATTTATAATATTAGTAGGGATCATTGTTCTCAACAATTGTCCTCGCGATAAGGAACAGTAAGATAAACTCAAAGGTAAATACGACTTATCTTGATTATCATTAAGCTCATTTTCGATTGTACCTTTTTTATGGTTAATCTTTTTAGTTTAAAATTATATGAAAACATTTCGTGATTACTAGAAGCCGGAAAACGTAGATGAATTGTCTTGATGACCGATAGGCAAATTCGTTTCTGGATAAAACTAATGATCGGTTGGTAGATCAGTTGGCCGACTAGTTGATGTATTTGTTTATAAAACAATTGATACATCACTAGGTTTATGAGTTAATAACTGGTTGGTAGATTATTTTGCTGACTAGTTCATAGTTTGGTTTTGTTAAATGCTTAATATAATAGTCAGCAAATACTTGTTAGGTTTCTCTGTAAACTGGTTATTAGATTCGTCGGCAGATGGATTTCTGGATTGGTTTTGCAAATTGCAAAATAATCAGTAGAATATTCTTGTTGTATTTTTTTGGAGTCTTTTCTGGAAAAGCATACTGCCTAAAATGCCTATGAAGAAATATTTGTACCCAAGAAAATAAACTTTTATTTTATCGTTAATAGTAAATCAAGAAGTTACAAAGGCTAATTCATTAACTAAATTGTGATTAGTTTTGAAAAAAATAAGGTCGATCAATTATAGGATAGAACATATAAAATTAATTGCCTCTGTCATTTTAAATCGTTTAAATAAGGATAAATGAATTAACGAAAATATATTTAACGACTATTTAAACGTGTAGATTGGTTTACCTAAATAATCTTAAATATTATGATCATAGAAATTAAAAAATATATAATATTTTGATGTTTTCAGTCCTCAATTTTTTTAAATATTTTTATAACTTTTGTGATTTACTCACTAGAGAATAAATTGAAGAAAATCAAGTCAAACAGTTTTATCCTCTTTTCTACCCACACTGTCTTTGTAAAACTTTATATACAATATTTGAAGCCAATTTAGTCATATACCAAAAAAAAATATTTACACTTTTATAGAAAAATATTTTTTTGTATTGATTTTAGTAACTTTTATAATGACTATTTGCTCCACTTTTCCTTATCAACCATTCCGCGTTACGTAATACGTGATTCCGGCTACCTGAAATCGTTAGTATCAAATTTTCACGACTTATATTCACCAGTATTGAATGAACCATTTATTATTAAAATTATTATTTTTCTTCTATTTATATATCTTCTATATAGTATGAAAATTTTCCATATTACATATGTATAAATAACCAAAGAATTTGATATGACCTTAAAGTTAACATAAAGTCATAACTTATCTCACACAAGTGTAATTGTTTGAAATATTCAAATTATTTATAAGAAACGACTATACACAAGTTAGAAGAAGACGCCCACATATATTAGTATTCAAGCCATTAACTGAACCTTCCAATGTCACAATACTAAGGATTGTCACAACCTTAAAATTAATTAAAATAAAAAATTCCCAATTGAAATAACTTAATAATTAATCGTCTTACTTCTTTATAACAATATTTTTGTCATACAATACATAAAAGTTACAGTTGACAACCCTAAGAGTTATTCGTAAAGTAAGTCATGAGTAAACACGCAGTGATGCAACCTTCGTACATTGAATATACATACGAGTAATTATACAATAATAGTTATTATACACACGGTAATTATACAAACTTATGTCCTATTGTAAACTGTTATACCAAGGTAAGGTTGGCGTTGATTTGAATCGGTATACGACTATCAATATTGTCGTATAGTAAAAAGTTGAAAATTGACCGATTTCAAAAGAAGAGTATGAAATGATTTTAATGTAAAAATGACTGTAAATAAAAAGGGTTTCTAAATGCATACTAACTAATATACAATTTCATGTAATTTCAGTACTTATTGTTATAAATATTGGGCGCATTTTTGTATATCAATATACTAAACATGCATAAGCCGTGAGCTTGCATGCATTTACGAGTACATTCAGCGATAATTTACACTGGCCGTCGGAAAATGGACGCGTTATAACGCGGTAAAACGAACACGTTTGGTGTTTATGTGTTGTTTAATATACAGACAAACATACATAATAATATTGGTTAATAATTTAAAATATATTGACTTAATATAGTTTGCTTTACTGTTTTATAATTAAACTTTATCATCAGCCTAACAGAGCCCACTGCTGAGCAAAGCCCTCTTTCTCACATGGAGAAGGTTTGAGCATTAATCACCACACTTGCTCAAGACGGGTTGGTGATTTAAAACTTATAATTGTGAAATTATAAGTCCAGGTTTCCTCATGATGTTTTCCTTCACCGTTTGTCAGTAGTATCTAAATATTTTTAGAAAGTACATATGATTCGAAAAAATCACATTAGTACTTGCCATGATCGAACCTGCGCCCTCGTGTACGATCCACTAGGCCATCACTTTTATCCGATATACAAATATTACAAATATGTTATATTTAATATAATAATGTATGTTAGGTAAACATTAATTCAAGGCACGTTCCTGAAACTACACCAAAGTTTATTACTTTTCCAGCACGCCCCCTCTAACATTTAAAACGTTTGAAGTCCCGACATTCTAGTTAACGATTTATGGAACAAAGTTTGAGCTCAGCTTGAAGTATTTTAAAACTATGTCACGTATATATTATGTTGAGAATACAATGTGTTTGCAGTCAATGATCCAGCTCAAAGAACGGAAGGAAATGGATGAAGCGTTCAAGAAGGCTCAGAAGCCGTGGGCCAAGTTGCTACAAAAGGTGGAAAGGACGAGGTTGGAGTATCACACGGCCTGCAAACAGGAGAGGACCGCGCAGAACCAGGAGAGAAACGCTAGCGGAGATAGCTCATTGAGTCCCGATCAGGTGAGGGCTAGATTACATTATGTATATATGTACAAGTATCGATATGTTATTGTTGGTATATAATCCAGCGAGAAATAAGCTATTAGTGCGATAATTATTCAAATCACGTAAGAAAAGGCAGCCCTAGTATGTAGGTTCTTTTCAAATTTGGTTAGGTAGGGAGGAGCTTTGACAGTGGAGGTGAGCGTAAAACGCGCGTTAGTTAAGGGGCCCCTTAAACCTACACCTGGGTCGCAAGTCCCAGGCACTGTTGAAGCTCCTCTCACTACAACGATGGTCCCGGCACACGCACGGTGAATACATTGAATGCTACGCGGTTTCGTTTTTGATTTTGCTTATTTTTCAGTCTCATTAAGTGTCAATTAAAATCGTTATTTCATAGTGATGATACATGAATTTTGATATTATAATATCACAAGGATTTATCATTAAAATTTCGTATACATATACAAGTCTTACAGTCATTGCAGCGATGTCTGAAATTGGTTAGATCCGGGCAATATTTTGTAAGTAGGACGTCGTTTACTCGATTAATGTTGTATGGACTTGAAAAGAAATCTGAATTTTTAAAGTAAAATTGACTTAAAATCTAGGTCAGAATACGTGTGTCATATTGTTGAATAGTGATTCATATATGAAAATACTAATAATGATTCAAACATTGTTTTATAGGTAAAAGTACATATACATATAGTTTTGGGAATTAATTTTGATTTATATATAGCTAGAAGCATCGATATATACAAACAAAATATAAGTCACAAGTATAATAGCTTATATATTTCGTATAGTATTTATCTATATATATATATATATATATAAAAGAAAGTCGTGTTAGTTACACTATTTATAATTTAAGTACGGCTGTAGGGATATGGTTGGAAATTGGTGGGGAGATAGCTTAGAACCAGGAGACGGACAAAGGATATCTAACTGTTCGTTCAAAAAGAAAAATAATAATAAATTTTAATATCTGGTTATTTACGACCTCAAGGGCGGAATAGAATTCGCCCGGTCAGCTAACCATTTATTACTAATGCCGACATTAACGCGGACGAAGTCGCGGGCAAAAACAAGTAGTAATCAAAATCATATATGTATACATATATCTCCATGTATAACTTGACCAACCAAGAATCGATTCAAGTTCTTTGACCACAAGCGCTCTATTTGCAAACCGATCGATAACTTTGAACGCGATATATAACGCTTAGACTAAATAATAAATTATTATAAAGTTTAGTTACTAAAATCATTAACTGTGTTATATGTATTTTCAAAGCAAATAAAGTTAATGTTGTTCAAATATATTCCTACATATAAAGCGCGGTAGCTCAATTTGTATGACTGCGGTAAAATGATATTACGGAAGTCCCAGTTTCGAATCCCAGTGTTGATGATATTAATTCTATATTATCAATTTAGTTAAACATTAGAAACATAACGAATTTTGAATTTATATATTATAAATGTATATATGTATTTATTATATACAGGGTGACTGGTGAATTACTATCTATATTTGAGGACGTGATATTTGACGATCATATATGACAAAATAAAAATTAATATAACATAAATATTAATAAACTTCTAAGTAAAGTTAACCAAAAGTTATGTAATTAATTACGCATCGTGTGAACACTCTACAGATTAGGTATACACTGACACTCACACATACGCGTGTCGTGACGTGTTGTTGTATCAGCACGCCACCGCACGCGTCCACACTTGAACACTTGGAACGTGTCAACACTTTACTTATTTATACGGAAATTTTGTCAAAAATTAAGTACCTATTTTTTTTACATAATTCGAATGAGAATCATGTACCGAGTATTCTCCTTAAATATTGATAGTAATTCACCAGTCACCCTGTATAATTGATAGTTCATGGTCTTGTAAAATAAGATGTAGGTAATGCATATAATTTTGTGCTACTCTTTCTCTTGTACTATTTGTCATTATTCTGTTGTATTTGTAATGATAAATCCAGAACAAATCAAATATTTCAAAAACGTACGAAAAGCAAATTGTCTTATATTATAATAAGAAATCTTGAAATACTGTTTTAGACAGTTTTGAAGAAGATTGCATTTTAATCTCGTCATTAAAATTATAGCTGACGATTATATTTATCAAAAAATTGTATTTGGTACTCGTCACCTTGGTGATTTTGACCTACATGTTTGTTGAGCACTGTCTGAACTAAAATTAACTCATCTTTTTATTTATACAATGGTTTCCAAATATATATATATCGGATTTATTACAGATTAGTTGTTTTAAAAGAGAGAGACGCCAGCCTCGCTGACGTAACTAATGTCACTTCTTCTAGAGTGTTCCATGATATTTTAAAATGAAACTTCAATTGTTCTTAATGCTCTTGTATTTCTCAAAGGTTCTTCATAATCACATACTTCAATGATACGCACTCACTGAACTCTGAATTCTGAATTTTCTATTCTGCCGTCGTGCGTCCAGACGTCATATTTATACCAAGATTTATACATAGTTCTATTCTCCTTTTAAACAACGTTTGATTTCGTTTTACTTTTAACAATAATCATAAATACTAATGAGTTTTAATAAGAATTGATGACAGCCTCAAATTGTTTTCATGTCGCATCCGTTATTAAAACTGATAGCGCCGATATATACAATTTAAAGGAATCATGTGGAACGTTATCACTTGTCAGTCTAGTTTTTATATTCACTCACAAATTTGTATATGAATATTAATACATATACAACGTTTTTTGATGATAACAAAAATAAAACCTCATTTGTAATTTATGCTTGTAATTAATTAAAAAAAATAATTAATGTCTGTTTTATGGTAACCTTATGAAATGCCACAACCAAGGTCAGTCATGAGTGTTAATAGAATGTGTCACTTTAATATGCACCTTATGTGTTAAATAAATAGAGTCTACTTTGCCATAATGACGTCACTACCCCTGACACTGCAATCATTTAATTATTCACATTTAATCGTAGAGAATATTCACGTAATATTATTGGTTGAATATCCTTTATTTTTAATAACAAGTTTTTTCCTAAAAAAATCGAAATTACCCAAGAAAATATTTTTATTTGACAATAATCTAGTAATAAAACATTTAAGATATAGAAATAATTTGATCGTTATATCATTTTACTATCAAATAGTATGCTAATAGTTTAACAGTTTATTATAGAAAAAAATATAAATGCACGTTTCATAATACGACCAGCCATCTAATTATATTATACAAACTTCAACAAACTCAGAGATAGTCTTGTAAAACAATTATCTCAACCCCACCGCTTTGAACACAAGTTACTAAGACTTTTGACAAGTCTAAATACCTCAATTTGTCATTACTTGGAACTAATCATAATACGATTGTAATTTTATCAATTAGTCAGGATTATGTTCATTTAGAGATTATATTAAAATTCTAATTAAATATTATTATAAATAAAGTAAAAAAATACGATTAAAGTGACATTCCAGCCGGGTCATACCTCAAATGACTAATGTATCATATATTTCTTTATGTTTCTCTATTTTAATGTATATATGTTTGTTCATTGTTACATATATACTGAGTATGTTTACATTTAATACATTTGGAAAATCAATAACTTTTTTATTTGGTGATGTCGACGCAATTAGACACAAAAAAATCCACACATTTAAACCTCGGTTCATTGAGAAGGAACTACGCCCTGATAAAATAATTAGAATTCAAATAAACTATGAAATATTCTTTGACATTTATATAAATAATCTTTATATATTATTTACAGTAAAACAATAACAAGCTTATATTCTATATGTACTACTTATATAATACAGAATTTATTGCATCAACGTCATATAATAAAAACATATGAAAAAATATAAATAAAAATCACTTGTGTACATATGTCATATTAATTACATATGTTTCATTTTTTGATTTTATTAACTTATTCCGCATAATTAGTAAAGAACGATGGTCTATGAGATTTTCTTCATCTTAACTGTTAGGCGTATCCAAATGATCAGTAGGTATATCTAAAATCCTTACTATTGGTCCTTAACGTCACACGAAATACGAAGAGTTTCCCGTTTCTTATAAAGTAACGTATTTTAATATTATAACGTGATAAGACTCATGAATGAAAAACTTTTAACTCTCCGTATTAAAACTTATGGTAAGTCTTTTCATACTAACTTTCTACCCGCATGGAGTTCGGTTATATCGCGTTTTCAAGAGAACCTTTCAAAAGTCTGGGATAAAAATTATCCAATGTTCTTTCTCAAGGTCAACTCTATATCTGTACGAATTTTCATTAGTCAGTTCAGTTGTTTAGGCGTGAAAGCGTAACAGACATACAGTTACTTTTGCATTTAATATTAGTAGGGATGATATTCGATTTTAAAGTGAAAACAATTTTAGTATTTTATTCAGAAAAGTGATTTTCAAAATAGTAAGCAATATGACTAATATTTGTATAATCTCTTATCTGTCACGTATAAAAATATTTGTATGTGATGATAATATTCGTCTTTCAACTATGAAAATATATTGTTCGTATGAAAAATCTCATTTAATATATTTAATATTATTTGTTTCTGTTTAAAAAATAACTTAATTCAATTAATACTAACTTTCTACTTCATTGAGAATTTACTGCATATTATATAAACGATGTATTAAGAAAAGTATACATATAAATTTTTTCCTTAGTAATTTTTTTTATTTTTATAGAAAAGTTTAAATCTTTTTCCCTCAATAGAAGTCATAATAATGTCAATTAATTTGTTTTATTATTATATAAAAATGAATAAATTGTTGTGAATATATGTGTGTATGTTTGTTACGTTTCTACTCCGAACATACGAAGCTGTTAGTAATAACCGATGTATCAGTATTTACTTATTGATATGAACATATATGTCACAAGTATGTTAAACCAGACGTCTATATCCCTACTAATATTATAAATGCGAAAGTAACTCTGTCTGTCTGTCTGTCTGTCTGTCTGTCTGTCTGTCTGTCTGCTACGCTTTCACGCCTAAACCACTGAACTGATTTTAATGAAATTCGGTACAGAGATAGAGTTGACCTTGAGAAAGAACATAGGATAGTTTTTATCCCAGACTTTTGAAAGGTTCTCTTGGAAACGCGATATAACCGAACTCCACGCGGCGAAGCTGCGGGCGGAAAGCTAGTGTCTTGATAAACTTGTCAGATGACAAGAGCTACTTTATCTCCTAAACATTGATAGATAACTTGTAGCACTTTATATACCTTTATATGCATAAGCTTGGCTCTTTAGTAGTAGTTTAGTAGTTTCGGAGATTAGCGCTTTCAAACAAACAAACAAACAAACTCTTCAGCTTTATAATATTAGTATAGATATACAAAATTTTGTAATTTTTACCTTTGATGTATTTTATGAGATAAAATTTAATAGTTCCACTAATCTCTATAATAATAGAACTTTTACGTAAATTATATTACACACTCGATTGTTTTGGTCATGTGTAATAAAACTGTTTTATATTCGTTAATTTTACTGAAATTAGATAAACTAATTTCAAATTAACGTGTGCACCGATTAAATTGAAATTAAAATGAAGTAAAATTTATCTCGAACGGAAAATTCAATATGTACATATATATAATATGAGGAATAAAATATATACATATAACCTTCAACATATTTATACTAGCTAGGTAATTATTCTAACACGGTATGTAATAGAAATACCTATCTAATTCTGTCTATGTATTCATATAGATGACTCTTAGATATAAATGACGTCACTATCTACTTATACATTCCACTAGAGAATCGTAATCTATAAACCGATGTCATCTCTAGCTTGATGTCCTTTCCCCAGCCTCATTTACTTCACGAGTGTTTTATACAGCAATGATAAAAGTTTTGTTCTATAAATGTTATAATTTAAAACTAATTTAAACCTTATTCTAATTAATATAAATTCTATAATTGACTGTTTAAAGCTGAAACTGTTTTGAACAATATTTGGTTGTGTCTTGAAGCATTTTAAGTCAGACGGTTTTATCTAAAGTTATAAATATAAATACATTATATATGTATGTGACTGTCCTCTAGCTCTCTAGTAAGCTGTACTCGTACGTGAGCATTTCTAAGGAACTATGAATTATTTATGTATTCTTCTAGGGCGCTATTGTTGCAAATTTCATTCAGTGTCGGATATTCCAGCTATACGCAAATAAAACACATTTTAGACGATATTATTATGTATTTTCTATTCTTATATTAGTATACTTTATTCTGGCAAGTACCAATGTGATTTTTCCGAGTCATATGTACAACTTTCTAAGAGTATTTAGACATCACTGATTAATGCATTCCCACAAAGGTGATTGATGTCAGGCAGGCGGCCGGTCGTAAAAACAATTAGCCAAAACTATTCACAACATGTAACGCAGACCCTGGCTGAAGCCTGGAAATTGCTAGGTAGAAGAAGAAGATCTAAGGATGCCTTATTGATTTACCTTTATCTTTTGTTTCTCGAAGAAATTTTTCATATATCTACCTAAAAAATATAGAGAATATATGTAAATCATACCGGCTTCCCTCTTAATTGTATTTATTCAGATTAATACGTTCAAACAAAACAACGTCATTAATTTTAACATATTGCAGTAAAAACACATTGTATGTTTGTACGACAAAATAATATTACGTACGAATTAAATTTACAAGGCTGAAGAATCTTCACATTCACTTATAACAACCTCACGGCCACTTGAAGTTACAGCGGTGCAGTTTTAATAGAGGCTGAACTTGAAGTTGGCAGAATATGAAGTGTACAGTCTTGAAGGAAATACGATTTTGCATTATTTGAATTTTTTATTATTAATTAGAACTATTTTTATATGAAGAATGTAGTTTATATATGTATATAAAAACAAGTAGTTTTATACTACGATAATCTAAATATACATATATATGTATATATAAAATTCTCGTGTCGCGATGTTAGACAGAGAACTCGTCCGAAACGGCTGGACCGATTTTGATGAAATGTTGTGAGCATATTGAGTAGGTTTGAAAATCGGCCATCATCACTTTTTCATACTCTTAAGTCATAAGGGTTGTTCAACCTAATTTTTTTTTGCTAACGTAGCATTAAAAAATACATATAACCCTAAATTTTTTCTTTTTTATCACCAAGCCCAATTTTTTTATACGGCAAAACAACGTTTGCTGCAACGTCAGCTAGTAATTTATAATATTTATCATTTCCGTAAGACATTATAGTTTAATATAAGGAAGTGTTTAAATATTCGTTTGATACATAAGGTTCATGTATTAAAAGTATAAAATATAATCATACCTTTGCGTAGTTTAAATAAGGATAGTTCTACACTTATGACAATTGTAGTTATGTATCCACGTGTCATGTGTCCTAGGTCTTATTATACTAGTCTGACTAACAGCGGTCTGGAATAGGTCGGCTAGGAAATGAAACGTCATACCGTTACGGAGTCTCGACGCCGGCTTTACATTGCTTGTTAGAATAAACACAGAGTACGTACATACAGAGGGAGATTTGTTTTTGAAATTGAAGGTAAGATCACAGTCTACAATGTAAATTTCCTCTGTGTGCAAAGATACTCTGTGTGTATAATTCAAAAGTTTGTAGTCTTTTTGCATGTGTAGATGATGACTTCTTATAATTAAAAGAGTGTTTAAATTTAGTAGGGTTAGAATATTTAGTAGGGTACGTTTGATACAGTATTTTTTATAAACACAATTTAAATATATATATAAAAAAATACGAAATACTAACCTCAACATTCTGAATTTTATAACATATATTGACAATATAATAGAGAATTTAAATTAAGTTGTCAAAATTTAAGCAATTTTCTCATTGTTAAAATGTACATCTAATAAGGTCAATTATTATGCTATCCCTACTAATATTATAAATGCGAAAGTAACTCTGTCTGTCTGTCTGTCTGTCTGTCTGTCTGTCTGTCTGTCTGTCTGCTACGCTTTCACGCCTAAACCACTGAACTGATTTTAATGAAATTCGGTACAGAGATAGAGTTGACCTTGAGAAAGAACATAGGATAGTTTTTATCCCAGACTTTTGAAAGGTTCTCTTGGAAACGCGATATAACCGAACTCCACGCGGCGAAGCTGCGGGCGGAAAGCTAGTGTTAAATATTTCTCCTTTAACCTAATTTATTTTCCCTTATAGCCTTTGATCCTCAGTAAAGGAATTACGCGATCAATTGAAACGACAAATCAAGTTATGTGACCCTAATACCAATACTGCCAATAAAATTGAAGTAGTTAGAATATACATATATTTATTGTGACCAGTTTCGAGCTAACCATTCGTCTGTACTATACATATATACATACATACATGTTTTATAGTGTGGATCTCATTACACCAGTGTGTACGAGCCTTACCTTAGTCCCCACGGCGTTTCTTTCCTCCCAAGTAGTTACAATCTTCATAGCTCTTCGCTCGACAACACTTCTTATATGACTCGCTTTTCAATAGGAAATCTTTTGTTTCTATATCTTTACAAATCGCACGTCTTTTCCATAATCTTTCCTTTCAAAATAAACATCGTGTGCAGAGTGCAAACACTTTATTTTCTTCATACTTTTAAAAGTCTATTTTGTATGAAAATGTTGTAGTCTCATCAATCTATTATCTTTGTAGTTGGTATATTATGAAGGTGTAATTATTTATTACTTATAAAAGGTGTATTATAATTTTCATTATCTGAGATCTCCCTAGAGGCTAATTTCTGATACCAATTTGTTAAACATCATTTTATTACGACGGGTTATTTCTTACTTATAACAAACTATTACTTTGTGCTTTAAATAAAATTAGTACATATAGTTGTAAAAATGTATTTTTTTTAACAAATTTATACTTCAATTCTATTAACAAAAGTCGGTTCAAAATCATTTTTTAAATTTACTATGATAAACAAGTTCAATATACATTTATAAAATAATTATTTTCGCTGAAAGTAATACCTACTAACTGCAGGTAGTGTTTATAACGATATTAAAAATCCATTAATACGTGTGTCCAAAGAAAAGTTTTAAAACTTTATAAGGAAGGACGAATATATTCAATTATTTTTATGAATAATAATATAAATAATAACAATAATAAACCGGTCCGTCGTCAAGCAGGTGAAGAAGATGGCTGAGCGAGTGTCCAAGTGTCGTGACGATGTAGCTAAGAACCGTGACAAGTACCAAGCGGCGCTCGCCGAGATAACGTCCTACAACCCTCGCTACATAGAGGACATGACCGGAGTGTTCGACCGGTGTCAGCAGATGGAGGCGCAGAGGCTGTCCTTCTTTAAAGACGTGCTGTTCAGCTTCCACAAGTGTTTGGATATAAGCAAGGAACCCACGTGAGTTGGACACTTCAACCTCCCATACATACATACAAATATACATACATACACAACAAGTAACTGATTCTATCTATACAAGTAAATACATTTGTAGTGTCTATTTGTAATGATCAAATAGACGCTCGTTACTGAATGAATATGAGTATATAGTATACTGAAATAATTTTTTAAAATTTTTTGCTCCGTTAGTCTCTATGTCACGACTAATCTATGAAGCGCCTGTTTCAAGTTTGAACACGATCTTCAATGACAATATAGCTCATCTAAATATAAGTAGCTCAGACTACATTCTCCGTGTAAGAAGAGACCTTTGGGCTCTAATAGGATAGTGATGATGATGTGGCTTCATTTATTATAAAAAATATTCTAGTCGCGAATTATTTTTTCAGTTATATCTAAGAGGAGACAATATAATTCCAGATTACCACAAATATACGAAGAGTTCCATCACACGATCAACAACGCTGATCACGGCAAGGATCTCAAGTGGTGGGCGAACAACCACGGGGTCAACATGGCCATGGCCTGGCCGCAGTTCGAGGTACGATACAGACGGAGTCTGGAGGCTACTACTATAGTAGTATATAGCGCCACTGCATCACTATATATGCGTATAGCGATATGTATGCAAATAACTGTATCAAGTTTAGGACCTGTTAGAGCATGCACTTTTTTCCTTATGTTTCTAATTGGCGTTATTATTTTTGGTTTTAGTCCTAGGATCCATCTGCCTGCTTCGAGATGGCGTAGTTCTAACAAGTGTAGCGTTAATTTATTTTCCTTTTATAAAATTCCGTGTAACTCAATGACCTTCGCTAACAGTTGAGTCATACGATGCTTATACCAATATTGATAGCTTACGGCATTGCAGCAAGCTTACTCAAACATAACGACTTACGTAACGAGACAACCAAGGAGTTCTTAATGTAATATTTACATCGGCTGTATCTTGACTGATGTGTGATTTAAATTTGAATTTCGAATAGATCAATATTTAATTTGAAAGTATTTTAATGGTCGTGTAGCCTGGATTGACAACGGTCGACGTGGTTGGTAATAAACCGAGGTAGATATAAAATTGTACAGGCTCGGAAAATTGAGCTAAGAACAACGTCCAATGAACTATTAATGTATTGCTAAATGATCGATAAATTAAACCTAAGCATTTTTTACAATAATCTCATTTATTTTAATGTTATTTTTCATAAGAACCCAAATCAAAAACTTTATTATTTTTATTTTATTATATCTCACGATTTCTTTCCTGTTAACTTACGTTCCGACGAAGAAGTGTTATTAATACATTGCATATATTCTATTGAATTAAAGTTAAATACGAATAAAACTTGTAAGGAGGATCCTCCGGAGCGGAAACAGTTCAGATATCTTCCCGCGGCCGCCAACGATATGATAGAAAGGATGAGGACCTCACACCGACCAGCCATAAGAGACCTCTGGATTCGCACACGAGCAGTAATCCGAAGAGCTCTACCCAGCATCTGTTTCGGAGATGAACGTAGAGTAACACCGTCAGAAATTACCAGCTCGTCAAACGAAACGAGATGCTACAACGTGGCGTTCATGGTACGATCATCACGGTTACCAGAGCTGATGAAATAAAATATTGGCATGAACACTGAAGGTTCCTTGGGATGGCAAAGAAATTATTTTAGGACAGCTTAGAGCTGGTCTACACACTCAACAGCTCTGACAATCGCCGGTCAAATAGTTCGCACCAGATGTCACCAGAAGTTCACAGATTATGTTTTGTTTCGCTCAATAGAACCGCAATTTTGGACGTCCTAGCACTTATCACGGTTATGGGCAGAAGATGACACGAATCGGCACCGGCTTCAATACATAACACGATCGCAAACAAATCAAAACTTAATTTTAATTAAAATGTTGACGAACTACCAAAATTTCCCCGACAATTAATTTCAACTATCCCATATTTGAGCTATTCAATGAAATCTACCTAGATAATACACTAGAACAAAAAATACATACATTGTTACAACCCTTGTCAATTCTCGCTACACGACAACAGACAAAGTAAAAAACAAAAAATATATTTGTTTGAACATAAAAATAATACTAATTAAATCAAAACCCATGCACTCACAGCTGAAGCATGGTCGACTATCACACGTCACAGCTTAAGAAAAAAAAATACACCAGCTTTGAATGGAAATGTTAATTATCATTTAATTAATTTGTCACGCCTGAACAAACGTGTTTGTACACAAACGGGCGTCTCGAACGCGCGTTTGTGTGAACGCTTGAGTGTATTCAGGAGTACACGGAGGAGTTCCGGGACATCGCTAAGGGGAAGTCCAAGGAGAGTCTGCCGACGGGACCCATCACACTCCTCAACCAGAGACCCGTCAGTGAGGATGTACGTCACCAACCAGCTGTGGGAACTCATTGGAAGGATACACTCATATCATCCAATGAGACTCCACGCTCATACTATATACAACAGACAGATATATCGTCCGTCTGTACCGCCTGTAAGGCTGATGAAGGGCTAAACACATTTTTATTCATCGTCCATGTTCATACTAGTCATATGCTTTTATAACTTAAAGATAATGCAAATAGAGTAATATATATTGATGACATTCTAGAAGTGTGGTTGGACCCGGACATAGGATTCAAATGAGAATGAAGATCCTATCTAATACCATATTATTATTTTTTTATGAGCTTTTTATTTAGTGTTTGCATGTGACATAGTATGGAGCGAACGGTGTATGGGTCATTCTCATTTCGATCTTTATAATATAAATGTGCTTGTATTTTTTGTTTTTATTTTTTTTTATTAAATCGATGTTGCATGATGGATGTCGCTTTACCGATACGCATAGCACGTATTAATAATATTAACATTAAGAATACATTCATAAAAATACAGTAAAAATATAAACAGAGATTTAAAATAAACAGTAATGAGGATAGTTAGATTTTAACCGGCTTGGAAGATTATAAGATGATTTCACAACAGGAACTTCCACCGATAACGAACAACAAGGCCGGTAAAATAAACCACGCCGAGCCGACAACAAACACAACAGTCGTCAACAACAGCAGCGCCAACAACACTATTGACAAGAAGACGATCAGCGCACCGATAGCTGTCACGTGAGTTACACACACACTCCTGGTATATAACGTATATGCCGCAGTACATCACTAGTCGTGGGTTCGATTCCTACACATGTCTTTATGAGCTATTTTTTATATTTTTCTTGCAAATAGCTCGTTATTCCATCCTTTCTCCTACTATCCATTAGTCAGTGAACATCCTGTATAACCTTCCTTCCATTCCTCACCTCTCCCCGTCCATAGCATCAACCGCCTGGAGGTGTTCACGTGCGGCTGCACCAGGACCCTCGGGCCCGATGACATCACCACGTACACGCTACAAGATAATACATACATACAGCTCACGTTAGTTGAAACATGTGATGCTTTATATATAGACGTACTTGTATTATGTAGAGAGTCAGTGGTGGTCTACTGGTTTAAAGGCCCGCCTCTTATGCACGAGGGCGTGGGTTCGATCCTGGCCCGGGCAAGTACCAATGTGATTTTTCCAAGTCATATGTACTTTCTGAGAGTATTTAGACATCACTGATTAATGCATTCCCAAAGACGGTTGATGTCTGGCAGGCGGCCGATCGTAAAAACAATTAGCCAAAACTATTCACAATGTGTAAGTCAGACCCCGGCTAAAGCTGGGAAATTGCCAGGTAGAAGAAGTACTTGTATTATGTAGATGTCGTTTCATGTATAGACAAAATTGAATAACTTTGATTGTAATAGAAGTTATCTGATTATTTCAGAAACGGCACAGCATCAGCACCGAAATCGGCAAAAACATCTCCAGCGAAGGACAGCGTTGGTAAAGACAACCCGTTTGAAGAGGAGGAGTGGGATGAGGACTCAGCGGGCGCGCTCACTGACACAGGCGAGCCGGGCGTACCGGTGAGGGCGCTGTACGACTACACCGGCGCTGAGAGTGACGAGCTCAGCTTCAGGCAGGGTGAGAGACATACATACATATTAGAAAACAAATGAACATCGCCGGGACAAGATCGTTGTATGGATAAAATATACGAGTGATGTTGCTGACTCCGCGGAATTAACACCAAGCTATGTGAACCAGAACCTGATACCACACAAGCTATGGAATGGTATTGCAATACTAATATCGGCAATCATGTAGTCTTAAGTGTAGGTTATGAGTTTTAATATGTAATTCTTATTATAATATACATATAAGTAAGTTGTACAACCTCCGGTTGACACCCTATATAATTCACAGGTTCATATAAACTAACACATAGTCTAATACGTACTTATATATGTAACACATGAAATAATAATGCTCATTTTCTTCTCTAATGTTTCAGGAGACCTATTCGAGAAGCTCGAAGACGAAGATGAGCAAGGCTGGTGTAAGGGAAGGAAAGACGGCCGAGTGGGACTCTACCCCGCCAACTACGTGGAGCCCGTGGGACACTAGACACACACACATACACATAGAGACCTGCACCACACACACACACACACATACATACACATACATACATACTAACACGGGTGAAGAATATGAAGCAGAAACTATAGTGGTGGGGGTACTCATAACGCCTTGTAATATGTCACTTAGATTGTTTTGGAACATGACGTCACGCTGCATTGAAATTCTATACTGGTGATGAATATCACAAAAATAACGTATAGTTTTATAGTATTATTACTTTATATGTATTATTAACACGGAAAGTGACGTCAGCGAAAAGCTTATTCCAAAGTTATGAGCGAATATATAAAGAAATATGTTGCATCTCGTTGATGACCGACTAGTACAGTGTGTAATCTGTCCCGCAGTCAGTATTTAAGTGCATCGGGATGTTGACGTTTGAATGAATTAACTGGCAGTTTAGTTGTAGGTTCTGAACACGCCCATCAAAAATAAAACAAAACGTTTAGAATATATTTAATACAGAGATGCCGTTGTTAACAGCGTTTAGTGTTAGGACGCTTTGAAAGTTCATTTGACTAAATGTGGAGTCTAAAGTAATATAGTGTTAAAGTGAAAATATAATAAGCTGCGTCGGTCGCGAGCTTCTACTATATATGATGTATCGTGACATACAGTTGTGATGCTTAAATAATTCAAATTATAGAGCGGCCCAAGATTTTGTTTATTGTAAATTGGCTCTGACGATGAGTAAAAGTATTTAGGTGTTTTTGAAAAATGTACCAAAAATCCTATAGTGATTTACGGACCTAGATGTAATATGCGGTTTGACGACCGACTGCCGGAGACCTAGTAAGAGAGTTTCCTTTAAAACCTAGCTAAGCCAAAAAAGTGAACGCCCGCAGCGACTCGCCCTACGGCGTCTGTGAATATAGGAGCGGCGTAGAGGGCTGAGCGTCGACGGTGTTTTCTGTACATACACTCTTATATATTCGTCGTACATAGAATATTTATTTCCCAATGTATATAATGTATAATTGTATCGAGAGGGCCGCCGGCGACGCACGGCCTAAGTTTCATTGTCGTTAGCGAGGTGGGAGGTGCTCTAGGAGGTAAATTAATAAGTAAGGTCGCCGCCCGGCGCCCTCTCGAGCGCTAGTTTTAATAATTAATATATTATTGAAATGTTTACCTTTTCTTTTATTTCTTACCTCGTTTTAGATATTGTTTTATTTCGATGTATCGACTCTGTGGGAGGTTGAGGTTTTATATTTTGACTGTAGACGGCGCCGCGTGGTTCCCTTATACTTACGCTGTTTGTTTTCATTGTTATGGGTTCAGAGACGTCTGTGAAATTCTTTGTATTATATTATTAAAGATCAGAGAGCGTGGTCGCGGACCACATATGTTAATATATTATTAATATTGATAAAATAAAATTGTTACATATGACTTTGGCTTTCATTTATACTCTCAATTCGTTATAGTCCGTTAGACTTAAGCTGAGCTTTGCATTTGTGTGAGTGAAAGTAAAAGTAGAGTTAGACAAAAAAACTTTTAGAATTAATTTTTATTCAATTTTAAATAGATACATAAGTCCTATAAAATGAGCAAAACTTGTAAAAGGCCAGATGGAAATGTTATGGAAAAAAAATATTGATTAATAAAAATGTTGAAAAAACTACAAATTCTTTTTCACTTGACATTGCGTTTTCAATATTTGATTTTGCTCTCAGTACAAAAGGTGAAGTGAGGAAGGTGCGGGGCGAAGTAAAAGCAATATAAACCGGTTCAAAACTAGAAAAGAACGTGTCATTCAAAAATTTGACAGCACACCTACACTATCCGTGTGCACTCACACAAATGCAAAGCTCAGCTTAAATCAAACGCACTATTACACATTTTTGCACTAAACTACTAGTGAAGTGTAAAAATAACAGTTTCACAAGGTACTAGAGTAGCCGTAAATTAGAAATTTACGTGATCTTACTAACCTTTGGGTATATTTGATATTATTTAACATAAAAATAGAGAGTTTTAACTAACAATAAAACTTACCTATTATTTTTCCTTAAGACATCCGGGATCATGGTAATTTCTACCTGGTTCATTTCGAGTATGTATAATGAAGTAAGAATTATCAATTTGTTAAAATGTGTAAGTTTCTTCCCGCCAAATTTTCATTAGAGGGCAGCACTTGCAACGGAAGGAAGCAAAAACGAGACAAAAAGGCTAAAAAGTCAGGTGCTTGACTCAAGATGCATTCCGGATGTCAACATGGAACAAATACAAGTTACGCATGCACGTTTTTGGTGTTAATGAAATAAAGTAACGTAATAATTTTAAAATATTTATTTAGATTGTACGCAGTGCACTGATACAGGATATGGAGAACCCGACGCCCTACAAATATATAAATATTATAAGCTGTACATATAATCTGCAATATTAAAATCGTACAGCATCAGGTTTCGATGTTCGAGTCCGGGATGTCCAAGCAAAGCTAGTAGTAGTGTTGACAAACGCTACACAACTTCAATAGTATATATAGACATTATTTGTAACATAAATCTTGTTTCATAATCATATACTCTTCATCATTTTAACTTTCAATATCAAAAGTAATGAAATAAGACTTCACAAACTCGACGTTGGTACAAATCCCTCCACTCTGCACACATTCATTGTCTCTAACATAGTCCACTACACATATATATTATAAGCATTTGTTTTACTAATACAATATGGTCTGTTAACGGAATAACATTTCAACAGCAGTCACTTGTTTAATGTCCGTGTTTTGATGTGATATTTATATAATTTGATAATTATTATTCCAATGAGAAGTCATCAGTAGACTGAACACTGGAGCTCGCGGTAACAAAACAACGTAACTTTAAATGCACCAAATCATGTTATTATCATTATATATTACAAGAATCTTAACAAATAAACAGACAACGAACAGCCCCGGTCGTCTACCTTTGATATGTTAACACAAACATTCATAAAATATTTACAAAACGAACGATCAACGATACAATGAGATTCAACAGCCCGTACAAGCCGAGACACGCGCTGTGATGAAGGTAGCGTACATTGCACGGGTCACAGGCCGCGAGCGTATCATTAAAGAACAATCAAATGTAAAATACATAATGGAACAGAAGTCTTTACACAACAATAATTAATATAAAAATATTTACAAAAGAACCAACGTAACAATTTATTATTTTCTGTCATAAAACTAGCTACAATATAATAATACATTACAAAACTACGCGCGGGTTTCTTAACATTGTATACGGAACCAATTTAAACGTCCACATATAACGTGTTATGACAATAATAAGAAGCCCTCTGTATATAGAGTATGTCCGTGCGAGATCTCCCATACAATAGGTTCAGTACTATCCTAACACTACACTCACTAAACATAATCAAAGGTCACCAAATATAAACCTCTACTAACAGACGTCGTAGACTCTTTTGCTCTTCCATTTAATCATATAGATAGATTAATTTCTTTAACAATATCAATTAATTTCTTATAAAACTGAGCAGATCGTTGAACATCAAGTCGTACATCTAAGACATGCATTTAGCGGAGGTAGTCGTTTCATACTATCTTAATAATATCAATAAGAACCGGCGAATACAGCGAGGGTAGGGGACGGACTAACGGAACGACGCTTCGGATAAAAAGAAATATTAATATATTGAGGATATTCGAATATTTTGATAAACTTTAAAACATAAACGTGTCGAAAATAATTATGTAAAACATCATGCTGTCGGAAATATTTCTTAAATCGTTCATAATAGTTTATTGACATCGATCGTTGTCGTCACGTGACGGTACAAGTCGTGCCGGTGTCGTGTCGTCGTCGTTCACTGTAAGCAGCCCTGTAGCTTCTCGATCCACTCCTGCGCTGCATTCGCGTCGCTCGCACAAAAGTTGTATGTCCGTCTGCTCGTACGAAGCTGTAAAACGAAAAAACAAGTGTCGCGAATACTCATATATATATATATATAAACCCAGATATAAAAATTTAAACAAACAGTAAAAGTGCAGTATATATAGCTTTAGACTGAATAATACAACTTAATTTTCACTTAAATAGACAATAAAACAGTAAAATGAAGTTATAGATACGTAGTATTATTCCCAAAGAGGGTTGTCAGGCAGGCGGCCGGTCGTAAAAACAATTAGCCAAAACTATTCACAACATGTAAGGCAGACCCTGGCTAAAGCTGAGAAATTGCCACGTAGAAGAGTAACTCACGTCAAAGAACGAGCGGTCGTCACACTTCTTGGGCGGGCCGGGCGCGGCCGGCGCCGGAGACACTGTGAGCACTTCCGATAACTCTGAAACACAAACACATTATATTATAATCAATATACAAAATGCAATATTAATATACAAAATATTATATTATTGAATCTCACCTATAAATCCCTTGCAATGTGAATCTTCCATAGCGTCGTAGTAGCGCAGCTGATGTTTTATGGAGTCCAACACAAACCATCTGGAATAACAGACAAATGAAATATGTTCAGTACACAAACATTGATAAGAAGATGAATTTGCTGTGATTTAAATATACTAATACGAGAGACTCCACTGTAAGATACACTCTTAGATTCACTTTGTGACGTCACATATACTTAGAATAGTAAGTTTTGGGCACAAACAATAAGTATGTTTTTCAAATTTACTCGGGACTACAACTAAAATTAGTATTGTAAGAATATAACATTTCCGGACGATGATTTATTTTTTTACGGTTACAATGAGCGATACAGATAATGATATAATAGTCCACTATAATTATATAAATACCACTGTACAATTGTACACACACACGCACGCACACATACACAAACATATATATATAAGCACGACTCTATCTCCTACATATTAATAATACCTCTGTTTCCATCCTTTCAGCAGCGCCCCCCTCTTATAAAGATGTCCCTCGTGCGTTCTGTTCTCAGCCACGTTACTGGAGAACTGCTCGTAACACTGCTGCGACGACGGCTGGAGCGTCGACACGCCTTCACCGACAACATATACATTATACTACTGTTTACCATTATATATATTAAGATATTTTAATCAATTTTAAATATCTCATAAGTTTTTATTATTGTTTGTACAAGTGACAAACGTTTATACTGTAAGTTTTAAAAAGTTTTTTCTAAGGGCGCGGTCTACAACAGATCTTTGTATTAATGAAACAATAATTGTAATTCTTAAAATATGTAAACGTTTTGCAATAAGACATGCTTATAATATTTATAAATAAATATATAACATCGCGGTCGACTGTTTGACAAAAGTTTTAGGTCAGTGTTCTTAATAAATTAATTGTAAACATCCCTACTAATATTATAAATGCGAAAATAACTCTATCTGTCTGTCTGTTACGCTTTCACGCCTAAACCACTGAACTGATTTTAAAGAAATTTGGTACAGAGATAGAGTTGACCTTGAGAGAGAACATAGGATAGTTTTTATCCCAGACTTTTAAAAGATTCTCTTGGAAACGCGATATAACCGAACTCCACGCGGGCCAAGCTGCGGGCGGAAAGCTAGTTGTAAATAATTCGATAACATATTTTTCCTATGAAGTTCAACATACACTGTCATATATAAAGTATATCTGTCATATATAAAGTATATGTCATATATAAAGTATATCTGTCATATATAAAGTATATCTGTCATATATAAAGTATATGTCATATATAAAGTATATGTCATATATAAAGTATATCTCACCAGCCCCCACTGGCCTGTCCCTCTCTCTATCAGGGGGCGGCGCCTTGTATCGTGTACAAGACAGCGCCAGAGACTCCGCACACCGCTCGTGACACGCCGCGCCGCAGTCAACACAACGAACACCCGTCTGATATTATGATAGAAACAATTAGATAAATAAATCACTTATGTAGTACATCTATATATATGTCGTTTGGGATAGTGCAAACCCGCGTAACTACCATTTGATAATACCGCGTATCTACATTGGAAGCGGATTATCAGAAGAAAGTTTGAGCTGAAATATTTTCAAAATAAACGACTTTCACGGTAATTTTTTCACAATTAGTAATTATTTAGTGTTTTGTTTGTTACTAATTATGAATAAGTATCTTAAAATTCTTTAATGTAGAAAATATTTCAGCATAAACTTTCTTCTGATAATCGGCTTCTTTGTAGATACGCGGGATTATCCAACGGTAGTTACGCGGATTTGTACTATCCCCGACGATGTGTATGAAATATGTATATATATATTACCTCCAGGGGTCCCCATAGTAGATCCGAGCAGTGGTCGCACCTGGCGGGCGCGGCGGCTGGTGCGGGCGCCCATCGATGCAGGGGCGCAGCACCCGCGGGGGGCGCAGCCGCCAGCCGGCCCCGGGCCAGCACCTCGCGCGTGCACCGCCTGTGAGCCGCCGCTGTAGCTCGACGGACCACTCCGCTACACATCGAGGAGTTTCGCTGAAATAATAATTGTTTCATTAATATAATATATGTATAAACTACACAACATAGCTCTTAAAGTAAATATATACAATAAAAATATATTCATATACTTTTCACACTATTAACTTGACATGTCCTTCACCTTAAATCACTTTTCATGAGGTTATCAACTTGTTATATAAATTACTAAAAAACCCGGCGAACTTCGTATCGCCCTATAATCAAGAAATATCTGTTACGTTTTTTTATTTATATTTTTGGAGTTTACATATTAAAGCCATAAAACTCCGTTTTTTGAAGTGCGACAGAATGATTGACATATTAGTTAGTTGTCATGTCAAAAAAAACGTTTGTATCAACAACTACTAATAAATTGAAAATTAATTAAAAAAACATTGTCCAGCGGACAAAATTGTGAATCTAAACCATTCCCAGGTCCCCTTGAACACACACAAAAACTTACATCAAAATCGGTCTAGTCGTTTGAGAGAAGTTTAGTGACATACACACTTACAGAAGAATTATATATATAAAGATACAACTCCACCGAGTATTCTTATTCTTATACCGCCCCCCCCCCCCCCTCCCACCTGTAGTTCCAGCGTGTTGGGTAGCTCCAGCTGGTCCCACCTCACCCTCCACTTCTGCGGCAGGTGTCCCAGCTCAAGCTCCAGCTGTCTCAGTCGCTCTAGCAGGCCGGTGAACGCGTCCGGCATACAACGTGATATACTGTCATAACTGAAAAATAAACAACAGCACATATAATTGAATGTGTTTAATACGCAAACTAACTAATTATATATATGTACACGATAAAAAATTTAAAAATAACTTAAATAACTATCAAGAAGACGTATTCTTTTTTTCGTGTGTGTATACTCTATGCCACTATATCTGTGTGTATAGTTCATTTCAATAGAAATTGGCAATCATGTAAACAAAGCAACTGACCATTCCATTACTCCGTTCTTACGTAAAATAGAATGGCAGTTTGATAATAATTACATCTCAATGAGCCCACCACTGTCTTTAACAATATTTTCATCATTAAACAACACGAATAAGATTTATTTTGAACACGCAATTTTATTGTATTTGTCAAATTGACACGATCATTTTTTACTCATCAAAGCCTATTTGTCTATGAAAATTAGTGATGTATATAATAATTATACAATGAACTAAAATATGATGATTCCTGGTTCCTTGTGATGTTTTTCTTTTTGTGTGATATGTTTCTTTTTTTTCTCAAGGACAAAGGCTTTTTAGTTTTTTGTTCTTATAATTTCATTTATTTATTTTCGTGGGCGCGCATTTGTATTTGTTTACCCAATATTCATGGGGCCATCTGAAAAGTCAGTGCCAGTACTGTGCATTACACAGCTTATACTGAGATGAACCCCTTTCCTTCCTTTCCCCCTTCTACACTGTATTCCTTAAATTTATAATCTTTATATTCTGTATAATCTTTGTAATGTATGTGTGAAGCAAAATAAATGGTTTAATATTTTCATACCCAGCTACTACAAGTCTTCTTTGAGCGGGCGCTCCTCTCTCGTCGGGCCACAGGTCAGGCTCGTATGGCGCGCCGTGAGACAACTCCTCACTCACGTAATACTCCCACACTTCAAGGCTGCTCACGGCGCTCACTGGACGCAATACCTACAGTCACAAATAATATATTAATATATAAAAAAATACTATGATTAAAATAATGCATTACATATAATTTTAATTAGAAACTAATATACAGCGTCAACTAACAATCAATTTATTCACTAATATGTACATATATCTGATAAGTCAATGGTGGCCTAGTAGTTAAAGAGGCCCGCCTCTCATGCACGAGTGATTGTGATTTTTCCGAGTCATATGTACTTTCTAAGAGTATTTAGACATCACTGATTAATGCATTCCCAAAGAGGGTTGATGTCAGGCAGGCGGCCGGTCGTAAAAATAAATAGCCAAGACTATTCACAACATATAAGGCAGACTCTGGCTAAAGCTGGGAAATTGCCAGGTAGAAGAAGTATATATACCTGATACCCAACACAAATAACATATTTATAAAGAAGGCTACAATCAGTTCATAATTAATATTTACGTTAATGATAACCTAAAATAAATCAGTATAGCTGCAGTAGTATGCTAGCAATACATTAAAACAAGTCCATTATATTATTATCTTTTTTTATAAAAGAAATATAGTCAATAGTGTTCTTATTATAAAAGACAAGACAAAGACTTGGCCTGTCCAGAACTCACATCAATTAATTCTTTGAACGTACTTCAAAGGCAGCCCTAGTAGGTTCTTTTCAAATTTGGTTAGGTAGAGAGAGGAGCTTGGACAGTGGAGGTGAGCGTTTAACGCGCGTTAGATAGGTGTCTAGTAAACCTACACTTGAGTCGTAAGTCCCCGTCACTGTTGAAGCTCCCCTCACTACAACGATGGACCCGACACCTGTACTGTGAATTAATTATATGCTAAGAGGTTTTAATGTTCTTACCGGGTTGTCAAGGTCGGGTGTATACAGCAGGTTATAGAACAACGGTGCTCGTTGGTGAAGTCTCTCCATATATTCAAACAGACCGAGCGCTGAACGAGCTTCCTCCGATTCGCCAGAACCTCCAATTCCACCTACTGTGCCTCCCGTCTCCACACCCTGTAATAAAGTATTTATAATATCGATCATAGGTTTGTAATAAATCCAATAGATGGCACTACTGTCACTAAAGTAAGGGTGATTTTATAGAAAACATAACATATACATAATGAGATCTAAGATTTTCGCGAGTATTCATTTAAATGAATTTTTGATAAAAACTACATACTCCCGACGTTTCAGCTACCGTTACCAAGGGCAGAGGAGATATGAATGTCTGACAGTTGGTTTTGTTTTGACAAGTCGCGTATGTAGTATTTCCGAAAAATATTATTTTCATTTAACCAATATATCCATTTGATTTAAGACAGTATAGCTTCCAGGAACCGCTGTAGCGCGTTATTTTGGCGTTTACAAGTTGAAATCCAGCTCGTGTGGAACGATTTTTCATTCAATGTCCAATGTAGTAAAGTTCATTTTTGTCTGTTTTTTAATTTGATTCAAGACACTATAGCTTCCAGAAACGGCTATATCACGTAATTCCGGCGCTAATAGGTTCAAATCCAGATCGTGTGAAATGATTTTTCACTCAATGTCCAATGTAATAAAGTTCATTTTTGTCTGTTTGTTAATTTGATTCAAGACACTATAGCTTCCAGAAACGGCTGTATCACGTAATTCCGGCGCTAATAGGTTCAAATCCAGCTCGAGAGGAACGATTTTTCATTCAATGTCCAATGTAATAGAGTTCATTTTTGTCTGTATGTTCCGATAACCAGGCTTCTTGCAGTATAAAAGACTATTCTTAAACTCACCATCCTTGACGCGTCCGGCCTCCTTTCCATTCCAGGCGCTAGTCCCAACTCCACTCTCTGCGCCTCGCTGTCTAATAGGAATGTTCTGAAGCGACATGACACACTGTGATACGCTACAAAACGGAGATAGTACTCGTTGAACTCGAACGCTAGCGGGAACTGTTTCTGGAGCTGGAACGATTATATTAACTTTTAATATAGTAATAATTAATATAATTTATAAAAGAAATATGTGCCAATTTTATACGAAATGCACGGCTACTAAGGGCGTGTGTGGTACAAATATGGATAAATATTTAACGAGATAATAATAATTAGGAACATGTAAATAAATCAACTTGTTATGTATGAAGTATTTTATATATAATTTTTTTCTATCATTTCGTTATGATACTCTCTTTATAATGTCAGTATAATCTTTATCAACCTACTCTGTCTTTGTCAAAGATAGTTGTAGGTAGATAGAAAGACAGTGTAGGAAATGTTTTAGAACATCGATTTCCGCCTATAATGTATATAAACTTATTGTTACCTGATGAACAGCATCCAAAAACATAAGGAAGGTGGGTGTGAATCCCTGTTGAGGCGTAGCGGCCAGGTTGGAGCGCTGCTGGAACTTGTGACCCAAAGCGAGCCACTCCTTTTCTACTAGGATACGGAAACCATCTAAAGTTCGGTAGTAGGGGTCAAGGCATATTTGGGCGAGAGATGATATCTGAAATATATCAAAATTCTTCTATTAAACTATGCATGGAAAGGTTTCGAATTCTTATATTTATGTCTAACAATAAAACAATGTTACTTTTTGAATACATAATTATTTATAACGGCATTCAAAAAAATAAACTTGTGCTTAATTTACTTAGTTATATATTTTATAACGTAGATATTTCTCTAAAATACTCTCAAGCTTAAACTTAACATATTAAATAAATCAAAATAACCACTCACTTACAGAATCAGTTCAATGTATTTAATAATCTCTAAACAGTATTATTTTCTTTCTGACAGTATATAGACATCACTGACAGACGGTGAAAGAAAACATAGTGAGGTAACCTGGACTTATACATAGTTTCACAATTATAAGTTTGAAATCACCAACCCGTCTCGAGCAAGCGTGGTGATTAATGCTCAAACCTTCTCCATGTGAGAAAGAGGCTATGCTCAGCAGTGGGCTCTGATAGGCTGATGATGATGAGTAGTATTATTATTAACCTGTGCGGTAACATCCCAGCCGTCTTCTAGTGAGAGTAGCACGGAGGCTGCCTGCACGTCTAACAGATCCACTACGGCGCCCGACAGCTGGAATAACTGGCGGAGCTGCCACAACCAACCGGATTCCTCCACCAACCTGGACATATATATATACTATTATAAACATTATTTTGTTTTCAAGTCATTAGTATGTGTATTATGTATTTGAATCCCTACTAATATTATAAATGTTAAAGTAACTGTCTGTCTGTTAACGCTTTCACGCCTACACAACTAAACTGATTTTAATGAAATTTGGTACAGACATAGAGTTGACCTTGAGAAAGAACATAGGATAGTTTTTATCCCAGACTTTTGAAAGGTTCTTTTGGAAACGCGATATAACCGAACTCAACGCGGGCGAAGCTGCGGGCGGAAAGCTAGTAATTATTTTGAAGCTTTATGATACTTTATCCTTATAATTAATTAATTTCCCACAGAAAAAAACAAAGTGCAACAGGAGCGTAAAATACTTAGATGAAATAAAACCCTTTTTTAATGACCTCCATATATTTAATCAACCTTCAACCGACAAAACTATGATACGACTGTTCACACACAGATTAACAATATATTGCGTGTTAAAATAGATTATAACATTTACTTATATTCAACAAGGTTAAAGTAGGTATGAAAACCTTAAATTATTGATTTATTTTTTGATGTATGTATAACTTGTTAAATATATTTTTTATTTTGTATGATAAGAACCTAATTTCGTACTCTCAAAAGTGTAAACATTTATGTAAATAATTTTGTAAATTAGTTTTAAGTTTCATTTAGGTGATATTTTTTATGAAACAATAAGTATCTTAAACCTCAAAACATTATTCAAACATTCACGGGATGGTACAGTAGTGATTCGCGTATGTGGGGCTCAGCCGATCAGCTAATTTACAAATTAATTAATTATTATATTTAACAATTTATGTATTATTTTTTAAATGAGTCATTGTTACTTGAAAATAGAAATAAATAAATAAATAAATAAAAAAATAAATTATGAAGTAAATTTTTTAAATATCGATATTTTCAATAATGTGAAAGTAACTTCGAGTTCGTCACTAGTAGCGCAGCAGGTGTGATGACGTCATTGAGTGTCATCGTGTTATACCAGGGCTTACAAAAATTTTGTTACTCTACATATAATAATCATTTAATATTTAATTTTATTATTTTTATTGAAGAGTTTGTAAATTTAAGTTGTTTGATCGTGTTCCATTTTCGATACTGATAACCCAGTTAAGAGGGTTGACACAGTTTTTAGAACACCCTGTATATAAGATTTTTTTCCCACCTTAGAAACCCAGGTTCATCGTTCCCGGGCGCTGAAGGGGCGGCGGCCCGTAGCAGCTTCTTAAAAGCGTGTTTGGTGGCTCGAGCGTCCGGGTACTCCACTGGCACGGGCTCCGCCCCCGCGCACGGAGCACCCGAGCCCTTCTCTGAGAACACGTACAGCGCCGCGCGACGGGAGTTACCTCCTTCACCTGATACTGAAAGACAACATATTTATTTATTTATTTATTTTGTACCAACAAAGTATACAGTAAATTATTAATAATATATGTGTACAAGGGATATCTTATCTCTAACAAGAGATCTCTTCTAGAAATCCTGAATAAAGTGGAGACCATTTGCAATACAAAGCATAGATATTATATATTTATTATTATTAAGGTTAATAATAACATTTAATTTAATTCTCATTTTTAAACATGTGGATTTGGTCCATATACTTTTTCAATGTTTCCAAGCCCTATATTTTATTTCGATATAGTTAGTTAGAGGCGATATTTTCACCACCATGATTTATTTATTTTTTTAAACCCGATATTTCGTCCATTTTTTATTCAGACAAATTTTATGATTGTCAATAGACAGTTTGAAAATGAAAGGTTTGAAAAATATATAAATATGTTTTCTCTTCTATTATATACCCTTAATCATCATCAATTTTGTTTTTCTACTGTCTACCGTTAAAGGGTTAAAACTAAGTCCAATGTCCTATTGCATTATCTAAAGTACCTCTTATTTGGTACAACCAAGTACATATATAAATTTTTTATCATCTACTATATCTAAAACAGTGTTCAATATATAAAAAGTATATAACAGTAACCGGAGTCAAGGTCGGCTGTGGAGAGTCTTTGTCGCGGGGTGTACAGCTCCAGATGAGAGGCATGTCTCCGGTCCTTGAGGGAGCCCCATCGGCCGAAGTGCCTTCCACCCGCGCCCTTGCCACCGCTACCACGACCTAGGACCCTGTAATAATTAGATTATAGATAGCTATATAAAAAAAGATTATTCTTGGAGTTCCTGTATTAAAATTTATTTTTGTTTAATAATGACACTCGTATAATATTCTTTATTAATCTCGTCGACCAATGTAGAATAAATTACATATTTTAAATTTAGTTAAAGTAAAATTTTCTCTTAATCAATATTTTGTTACTATAATAGAAACAATAAATACATTTATGTTATTTGGTGACCTTCCAGTACATGTTGTTTATACATAATATCTTATATATATAAAATTCTCGTGTCACAATGTTCGTCCTCGTACTCCTTCGAAACGGCTTGACCGATTCTTATATGGCAAAACAACGTTTGCCGGGTCAGCTAGTATTGATATATATGTATGTTTCACACATACACACACACTCTGCTCTAGTATACAGTAAGAAATAATGGTTTATCATTTATTTTTATTTACATAGAACAATATGACACTAAAATATGAGAGAGGACACTGATTACTGTAATACACGTCTTTGAGCCTAGCTCAGAAATCAGGGACTTCATTATACTTTGTTACTTTTTTTGTGAACAAATATTATTATTATTATTATCATATGTCCGAGCGTTTCTATCTCACCCCAAGGTTCCAGCAGCCTTAGTAAGCAGTGGTGTATGATTCACGTGACTATCCTCACAGCACAGCAACAAGCTGTCCAGACTTAAGCTGGAGTCGTCCAGCTCGCCGCGAGCAGCTGGCGTCAGAGATACTAGGGTTGATAGGTAACGCTCCTGGAATTATATTATTATACATAATTGAGGAAATAAGATTTATATGAAGCAAATAATATTAGATTGTTCCAAGACTCATGATAAATTTATAAAACTGCGGTGCTAGATCATTTAATAAAAAGACGAAAATGTTATTTTAATTTCCAATACAATTCAAAATAATCGTATGATCTGGTTTATTGAATGCAATGACCGAAAATGATTTGTTAGAAAAGACTATTTCTGTTAAAAAAAATACACTAATAGCTTTAGGGATTTTATTTTCCATAGAATGTATCAGAGAAATTCAGACAGTAAATTAAAAATAATAATTAAAAAGTTTTGACTTTTAGCAAAAAAAAAACCTTGCATAACATTATCATATCAAGTTAATTGGAAGAAAAATGTATATATTTAATGTATCAAAGAAACTATGCATAATATTTTGCCAATTTAAATTAATTGGTATATCAAATTTTAGTAGTATTTAGCATAGTTGTTATAGCATACCTGTTCTAAACTAGAGTTAGTTTCTGTGCCGCTGGGTGCAGGCGTCTGATGACTTGAGCTCTTCAACATGCCCATGACGCCCTTGTGGTGAGACGCTGCCGACCTAGAATATTACAATATATCTATATATATAAAAGAAATTCGTATTAATTATACTATTTATAACTCAATGACGGCTGTTGAACATTGTTGGAGAGATAGCTTAGAATAAGGAAACGAACATAGGGTATTTAATTCTGTTAATTTAAAAAGAAAAACAAAATTCCAATATCTGCCATATATGTATATGGCCACAGAGGCGGAATAGAGTTCGCCCGGTCAGCATTAAATATATGTATCTATGTAATGCTGACCTATATATCTATCTAATTCCTAAATTAATATGGACGAAATCGCAGGCAATTACTAGTAAAATATATATTAAATATCATTGTAGACGTCAATTAAGTCTTATTTTTATCTTCCTGTGTATTATGTTGAGTGATCATAATACTTATCAAACTTTAACACGAAAAATTAATACGCGTTGTCTCATGATGGAATTAAGATTAGACAGACAAAAAAGATCTTTTTTAAAATTTCGAATTCCTAATATGAGTATAGTTATTTTTTAAATATATATTATACTAGCTTTCCGCCCGCAGCTTGGAGTTCGGTTATATCGCGTTTCCAAGAGAACCTTTCAAAAGTCTGTGATAAAAACTAAATAAAATCCTATGTTCTTTCTCAAGGTCAACTCTATGTCTGTACCAAATTTCATTGAAATCAGTTCAGTGGTTTAGGCGTGAAAGTGTAACAGAGAGACAGAGTTACTTTCGCATTTATAGTAGGGATGTGTGTGTGTGTGTGTACCTGGCCAGTATCGCCCTGGTCCGCGGATGTCTCCACGTGAGTACAGGCAGCCGGCCCTGTCTGTAGCACCGAGCGACGCGACGGAGGGACTCGTCAGACACGGACTCCGGGACCGCCACTACGGCCGGGTAACTGAAACATTCACATTACTCTATTATTATAATATGGGATATTTTTAGTTAAATGGAGTATTTTAATTACTAGAATATGCCACAAAGATTGAAATAAATATTAGTCAAATCATACAGATATAAATTTTATAATACATGTAAGGAATATGGTTGTCATTCAATAACAAAAAAAGTATAGAACGATTCAATATGTTAGGAAAGTTATTTAGTTGGTCTACTTATATTATAAATGTTAAAGTTTGTTTAATTATATAAATGTCTGGATGTTTGTTGCACTTTCAAACAAAATCTACTGCACCTTTTTTTGACATGACTTCACAGTTATGTAGTTAAGACATAAAAATAATTTATACACTATAATTCATTGCGGATATCTTAGCAGATCCCGAATCGTATCATAGCACTTATATTGTGCTAGAAATCACGTTACCGACGATAGATGTCGCTACAGGTTATCATGTCTTTTGTTTCTTAATATCTTTCTCAGCCTAGTTCTGCAGTACAAAAGTAAACGCTGACGAAAGCTATATAATATACCGCCTAGCGAATGAATATTTTTCTAAGCCTAATTCTGGAGTCCAAGAGAAGACGCGGACGTAAACTAGTGTCATATATACCTTCTAGCTAGTGTGTAGAGTGCGTTAGCGTGCGCGAGTCAGGTTATCATGTCTTTTGTTTCTTAATATTTTTGTCAGCCTAATTCTGCAGTCCACGAGAAGACGCGGACATAAGCTAGTGTTATATACCTCCTAGCGAATGAATATCTTCTTAAGCCTAATTCTGAAATCTAAGAGAAGTAAACTAGTATTATATATACCTCCTAGCGAGTGTGTAGAGTGCGTTAGCGTGCGCCAGTCTGAATGGCGCGGCTGCCAGCCCCACCCGCGACCAATCTCTAGCGTACACTCTCTCCCGGACTCGCTCTAATGAACGACAAGCCTCTGCCTCCGGACTAACACCACCTAATTCTAATTCTTCCACTGAAATATTAAATATATATTTATATGAAAATTCATTGAGCTATATGAAAAATACTATTTTATCTACATACATTTATACAAAACTTTATACATATCTTATATTTAAATATGTTTTTCATTTTCATGTATAGAAAGAGAATTTAATATTATACCACATTTAACAAATTCATACATCATTATGTCGTCATCGTCATCAGTCTAACAGAGCCCACTGCCGAGCAAAGGCCTCTTTCTCACATGGAGAAGGTTTGAGCATTAATCACCACGCTTGGTGAAGACGGGTCGGTGATTTCAAATTTATAATTGTGAAATTATAAGTCTAGGTTTCCTCACGATATTTTCCTTCACCGTCAATCAGTAGCGTCTAAATATTCTTAGAAAGTATATATAACTCGGAAAAATCACATCGGTACTTGCCAGGTTTGAACCCGCGCCCTCGGCAATGAGGCGGGCCTTTTAACCACTAGGCCACCACTGACTAATCATTATGAGAAACTAAAAAAGTATGTATTAACTGACTTGTGTTTTCTCTATATAATAATCTTTATATATATATATATAATTCTTCTGTGAGTGTGTATGTCACTGAACTTCTCTCAAACCCCTGGATGAAATTTTTTGTCTGTGTTCAAAGGGATCTGGGAATGGTTTAGATTCACAATTTCGTCCGCTGGACAATGTTTTTTTAATTAATTTTTAATTTATTAGTAGTTGTTGATACAAACGTTTTTTTTTGACATTAGATTTGACAACTAACCAATATGTCAATCATTCTGTCGCACTTCAAAACAGCGAGATTTATGGCTTTAATAGGTAAACTCTAAAAATATACATAAAAAACGTAACAGATATTTCTTGATTATAGAGCGATACGAAGTTCGCCGGGTCTTCTTGTATATATATATATATATATATATATAGTACTAACAGGACAATGTGTCAGCTGACAGCGAGGCCATGAGCGGTGGTGAGGTGAGTGACCGCGCGTCCGCCGGCAGTACATACTTCTGTCGCTTGGACGGCTTGGGCTTCAAGCCGGCACGACGAGCTGTCTTCAGAAGAGTCTTTTTGGCAAACCCTCTGGAAATATATATAAAGATAACTTACTGAATCCACTATTCACATTGACGAGTACTATGAATAAATATCATTCAATTGTAGGTTTAAATTTATAGCAAAATTGACGTTGGGTTTGGCTATGATTACAAGATATATAAAAAAGAGTTAAACAATGCAGATATATTAAAACATGATATAGAACTACATATATTGTGTATGTTTCCGGAAACTTCTTTCTTTATGCCTATAATTATATATTAGTATGTATGATGGCCACTATTTTGAGCAAATCTCAAAGCAATCAACGACTTCTTCCCGTTCATTTGGACCTTATACGTGGTGTTTTAAAGCAATATATATTGTAATCCGTCAGCGCCATAGATATCTAGATTCTGTGGTAAACAACTACACGGAATTCTTTGATAAATAAGTGATTCCGATATCGAACCAATATTTATGCAAAATTTTATAAAAGTCTGTTAAGTACTTGTAGGGAAAAAATTGTGACAAACATCTATGCATTTTCATAGATTATTGTCTTATCTTATGTCTTTAAATGACCAATTCTTGTATATATATTTATATATAATTGGAATCGGCAATTTAGTATATAGGGGGTTTTGGGGACGATAAATCGATCTAGCTAGGAATCATTTTTAGAAAATGTTATTTTATTTAAAAAAAAAAAACAAAAACGAGTTAAAATATGACTCTTCCTGACATCTATTGACGAATAGTAACACTACTTTTTGCTAATTGCCTTTATTAATTGCTTTAACGATACAATAGCAGATGGCGTTGTTAAGTACCGGGCAGTCAATGAGTGTTTGTTTTGACGTTAGACTAAGAAATTAATTGTTGATTTATATTGTTTTGTGTCTTCTTAACGTGATCACTTAAAAATGCCTTCACGAAATAAATATGTACTAATAATTTCTAAATACCAAGCAAAAGTCGGTGTCCAGATATTATTTATAACATTAGTAATATTTTAATATATATTTACTTGAGTGTGTGGTGTTTAGGCTGAGCGAGGTCGCTGGGCGGTGCAGCTCTTGGCGCGAGGGCGAAGTGCAGCAGTGGGTGGGGGGGATGACGCAGACGAGACACCGCCTTACGGAACGACTCCGCCTGCTCGCTGCTCACCTCCTCGTCTAGAGCCACCTGGTGTACAAACACGGTTTAGGTTTAAGATCTTTATTCTCAACAAGACAATACATAGTCATTTATTTGAGAACATTACTAACTTAAACATAAAACATTATTAACATTCGTCACACCAGGTTTTATTTAATCTGCAGTGGTTAATACGAAATTAATAAAAGAATAAAATAAAAGGAAAACACATCCACTGTATGCGATAGTTGGTAACATATTGCGCGAGTTGCTTTTTAAATGCGGTAAGTGAATGCGTCTTCCTTATACAAGAAGGTATTTTATTATAAAGCAAACTCAAGTTTACTGATAATAACATGTCCTTGATATATGTATATATAAATATCGTTGGAGATAGTGCAAATCCACGTAACTAACATTCGATAATTCCGCGTATCTACATTGGGAGCAGATTATCAGAAGAATGTTTAAGCTGGTATATTTTTTATATTACCAAATTTAAGGTAATACTTTCACAATTAATAATTATTTAGTGTTTAATTTATTACTAATTGTGAAAAAATTACCTTAAAAAGTTGTTAATATAGAAAATATGTAAGCTTAAACTTTATTCTGATAATCTACTTCCAATGTACATACGCGGAATTATCCAATGGTAGTTAGTCAGATTTGCACTATCCCCGACGATGTGCATGTTTCTTCTATTGCAATATTTTGTTATCATTAAGAATAGATATACTTAAAAACGTTCGATTACGTTTATATCAATGTTTTTTTTTTAATAGGGCTGAACAACATCACTAATATCACATAGTGAGGGTAGTTGTAACCTTAATAAGTTGGAAGGTGGCAGCCCTTAGCTGCAGGGCGTCGTGAGGCGCGTGTTCGAGGTGAGCGGGCGCCGCACGTACTCCCTTCTCACGCGTGAGGGCGCTTAGAGGGAACGAACGAACGACCGTCGCCTCGCACGCTAGGTGAAATATATACTTACATTTAAAAAGTTAAAGATACAATAAAGTAATAAAGCAATAGATCCATCGAGTTAATAATGTAACAACAACAGTTGAAATAGAATACTACCGAATTTACACTTGATATGGTGAATATTGTTTGTAATCAAGTTTTTATTACTTGCAATTATCTTTAAAATTAACCTTGTAATATTTCACAAACATTATACATATTTGCGATTCAAGTTTGAAGACCTTGATTCAGATGACTAGAACAGATTCATTGTCGCTACAGGTCGATGAAGATGACCTATGACTCACTAACCGTAAGGGTCTACAGGTACTCCTTTGAACAGCAGCCTGTAGTTGGTGAGGAACAACGCCCCCTCAGCGGGCAGCAGCTGCGGCAGGGCAGCACTCCGGCCATCGGCGAGCAGCACCGCGCGTAGGGCTCCGCCCGCACTCGCCTCGCCGTGCACTAAGGTAGGCCACGCTATCCGAGGCTGTTTAATAAAATTTTATTAACATAAATAGGACTTACTTATGATAAAATATATACTTGTAATAATTAGGAATTATGCACATTAAATTTGCAACGTAATTAATTTAATCTTCTTATAATTATAATAAAACAAAACATTTGATACCTGAGAATTTTAATATTATAGAAGCATCAACTCACGCTATATAAAAATTATAATATGTACTGATAAAAATAGAGATGTAATTCCAAATAACCTTCTGCACTGGTGGTAGCCGGCGACTCTCCCTGGCCACTCCGTCCAACGTCTCCAAATGCATGTGAACGACGCCGGGTATCATCTGATGCAGACAACGAACGTGCTCAGCCGTCACCCCGCCTTCCGTACACACCTGGTTATATACACAAAATTGTATTAGTCTAATTACTACCTAACTAATCTATGATAGGTTTCAATACCTTATGTATTTAGGGTAGCCAACGAAACAAGATAAGTGTTGTCAATAAAATGACTTATATGAACGTTTGTGTTTGTTAAAATTATATATTAAATAACTTAGCCCCTGCTATAGCTAGATGTTGGGACGTCATAAAAACTGTACAATTAATATTATGTTAATTTTATGTTAAGTCATTTCCATAGGTTAAGTGGATCATAAATTACATCTCTAGAGTAAATTAATCTTATATTAGGAAGTTTTCCATAGACAGCCCTTTAGCCTAATTCTTAACATTTCCTCTATAAGGTCGTTATTAAACTACATATATTTAAGTATACACTACCTTGTCAACGAATCTCGACACCATCTTAATAACATTGTTCCCCGCCTCTCCGGGATCAGCCTCTTCGAATCCCGACTCCGCGTCTGCACTATCGGATTCCGCTACACTGTAAAAATTAATATATTATTAATACTCATATCTAAATAGTAAAATATTGAAATAAGAAAATATTATTTGGAACTCATTTAAATAGAATACATATACATATACAACCAATGTTCAATGAAATACTCGTTTGGTATACTTGCATATATACATACTTTTTTGCTTTAATACAAAAATATGCATAACATAAAGAACTACACCCATTGAATTTTTTTCTCTAAGGACTTATATCATAGACAGAAACATTACCTACGACAAGTTTCCATAACAATAAAACAAATACTAAAATTGTAAAGGTGCACTAAATTTCCGCTCATAAATTATTTATGAACATCATATACAACATGTAACATAATTAACGCACACCCTGAAAGTAATTAGTTCAGAATCGGTATCTGGATCGATTTTTATAGTTTTTTATGTCGGTCATTTTTTTTTCAAATTTAGATAGAACTAAGTAAATTACGGTTATCCTACACACAGTTATCTAAACACTTCATATAAACGAAAATGGATCGTAACTCAGGGTATTAGTTTTAAAGGTATTAGGTTTAAATAAAGATTTTTAAAATTAAATATTAAATTAGTAACCATCATTCAATTAAAGAAAACTGATACTTGTTTCAAGTCTAAAATAGTATTTTACAAATGTCTACGCACGCACAGCGACAGCCGGCACACATCAAATACCTACGCACGTGTCCATTGACCTCCTAGATCAGCTGATTTGACGCCACTCGACTTTTTTTTTTGTGGGGTTGAATTAAATCGCTAGTTTATAACACAGAGACAACAAGTGCCGAAGAACTAAAAAATAAGATAATAATCGCCTTTGTAAAAATGAAAAGTGACACTTTAGTATTATCTAAAAAAAAACCACAATTGCGAAAACGGTCATTAAAATTTAAAGTGCATTGAACAAGGCGGTGGACATTTTGAAAATGTTTTAAAACGACTACGCCGTGCGAGTACATATTAAACTGTAAGTTTGTTTATGATCTTTTATTTTTGATTTGATTATTTTAAATATTTTTGGTTTGATTATTGTAAATATTTTGATTCACACCATTTAAACACGCCGACTGTGTTTAACTTTGTCGTAGGTATTGTGGTGTCTCATCAAATCACGCGTTATCAGCTGTTTAATAATTCTTATTTACAAATTTAATTTAACTAATCAGTAATTATAAAATATTGGCTTCATATTAAAAAGAAAATTCAATGTCGACAATCTAAAGCCTGAAAAGTGTGATGGAAAGAAGAATCATAAATCATAATGTAGTTATTTCGTGTACTTATTATTACCTACTTCTTATTATTGTCGGACGGCACTCGGAGAGAGGGGCGCGGGCGCGGCGAGTACATTGTGTCTGTCTGTGTGTGCGTGTGCAGCGGAGTGTTGGTGAATAGCTTACCATATTATTTGTACGAAATTGGGATAACTAATTTATCAAATAAACAATGCTAACGCACATATAAATAATGTTTAGTGTATGCCTTGCGTTTATATTATTATATTGTAATTGGGGTGTTTGAGGATGTGCGTTAATTATGTTACATGTTGTACATATATGACCAAACGGTATGTCATCACTATGTATATGATCACCCTGTACATAGCCAACCTGTTTGTAATGCTGTTGCTGTTCCTATCATCATCCCGCACGTCCCTCCTGCCGGCGCCCTCTAGCGGCAACAACAGGTACACCATACGGTTAGCATAGTGAATAGCTTGACTGTACAGCGTCGACTCCTCACTAGCTAAGAGCTCGCGTTGTTTTTCTGTTAAAACACATATAAATCCATTAAAATAATGATAAAAGAGGGTAAATGTATGGCCAAATTAATTCCTACTAATATTATAAATGCGAAAGTAACTCTGTCTGTCTGTCTGTTATGTTTTCACGCCTTAACCACTGAACTGATTTTAATGAAATTTGGTACAGAGATGGAGTTGACCTTGAGAAAGAACATAGGATAGTTTTTATCCCAGACTTTTGAAAAGTTCTCTTGGAAACGCAATATAACCGAACTCCACGCGGCGAAGCTGCGGGCAGAAAGCTAGTATATTATAAATTATAATCCATATAAACAACACATTTAATTATATGGAATCTTGAAAGAATATTTAATTGTTAATACCAGGTGATAATGTCGGCCATATTCTCATTTGTTCAGCTGCTATTTCTAACGCGCTAGGTTCTTGAGCTTTTAGTAAAGATATGTATTCGTCGTCCTCTCTGAAACATATAACAAGATGTTATTTATTTAAACCAGAAGAACATTTAAGTGCCCTAAAATACAACAATTTTTTTTGTCAATTAAAAGACTTAGGTCTCTTCAGAACTAATATCAATTCATTCTTGGATTGTACTTTGAAGGCAGATCTAGTAGGTTCTTTTCAAATTTGGTTAGGTAAGGAGAGGAGTTTGGACAGTGGAGGTGAGCGTTTAACGCGCGTTAGATAGGGACCCCTGAAACCTACACTTTATATATTTTAAGTTTTAACAATTACTCTGTAACATACCAAATAGAATTTCGATATAGGAGAAATACAAAGACATATTAACTACAAAGAAGCATATGACCATATTACCAAAAAAATCCAGTTTTCTTACTGACCTTGGGCTAGAGACCCTGTTATGATGTGTAGGACTTGGTAGGTACAGAGCTTTGATGTCTCTCTGAACATCTTGATAAAACGCAGCCTCCCAGAACTGCTGGCTGGTCCATACTTGGTGTTCCTGTAGAAATAGCAAATGTAGCCTTAAATATATTTAGAGCAAAACAAATATCTATTATAAATGAATAAATATCGGCCTTCTACATGCACCGATTTAATCATGAAGAAGGAATCATTATGAATCGTATTTAATATTTAAGTTTAAGGTAAGATTTCTCAGTGGAAGGTATATACATCTTAGTGCAAAATTTAATGTCCCTTATTTTCTTTGTTTTTTCTAATGTAATATTATTTGATCTATGAAAGTACTCGTAGGTTGCTACAGTTAATTATAGCCTATGTAAAATGAATGTACTAAAGTGAACGATACTGTGTTGCTTAGACTTTTCACCCTTTACGAGAAGCTATCGGCTAGACTAGCAGAGACCGTTTAAGAATTGCTTTTGCATAGTTCTGAAAGTTCTTTGTCTGAGTATTTTTCAAGATAATCAGATAAGATCGTATGCTTTATGTTATAACAAGAAAATATGGTTGAAGATTGAATTTCTATCTAACCTGTATACACATATACGCGTACTGTATAACACCAGTGCATAGCTTGCGGCAGTATGCTGTAGCTAGCGGCAAAATGGCCGCCGCTATGGAATGCTCATCCAAAGCGCTTGCTGATTGGAGAGCGCTATTCATTAATCTGAAAGAAGAATCATTGTACCATTTTAGTATTGTTCCAACTGTTGTTTTAATATTTATTTTTTATTTTAAATCTGTTATAAAGTATATTTATTATCTGTATCATCTATTTTGAAAAAAAAATACAATAGAATAATTATCTTTGTGAGATAGTGATTTTGAAATGCCATACATTGAAATTAATGACAGAATAACATGCAATATTAGAATTTTATTTATATAGAAATATTTTAAATTTAATGTATAATGTATTGAGAATTATTGTATTATTTTAGAGAATATTGGTAGTAACATAAAAACCGTACAAAAAAATTGCAGCATAATCCTCTAAAACCGACCGAACTTGGTAATCTAATCTATTGGAATTTCATCAGTAGGAAAATTAAGAATCCACCAGCCTAATCAATAAGTAGCAAACATCTGTAGGAACACTTCAGTTTCCTTAATCATATATAAATAGATAAATATGTATATGCATATACATATTATATATACATTTTAATGGTAGAATTATAAAATACCCTAAGATACTATCAACAGTTCGTGATCACGGCCACCGTGTTATAATGAATACATGGTGTATTTATAGCGAGACACATTCAATTGTTCCGTCTAAACTATAACACCATGTTGAAGCTCGTTGGTCTCTGTTTAATAGCGAGCCTTTCTTCAATAGGCGCTGATGATAATATGTTGGTAAGATTGCAAAAAAAAATTCTTTTCATTATATAATGAGATTTAAGACTTTCGTGAGTATTCATTTAAATTAAACTAATATTTTCGGATGTAGTACGCGTTATTTTATTTTTTACCTTTCGGTTTCATTACAGCAATCGTAATTACGGGCAGACGAGATGAAAATACTCATCTGAACTGTATTAAAATGCAAAATATATTAGTTTCTTTTCTTTATATTCTTTCTGTGACATGACATTCTAAGTTTTATTACATGTATGTATATAAGAGTGTTTGTGTGTTTATATGTGTGATGTTTTTAACAGGGTAAAGGCCTATGGTCGTTAATCGCCGTTGAAAACTGTCCCGAAGAGGAACTTCACCAGGAGTCTCTAAGACTGGACGTGAACAAACACAAAGTGAACCGCTCTCACGATGGACTGTCCGTACACATCACTATTAACAACGAAGTTAACGACCAATATGGGGTAATATTATCTAATTAGTAGCACACTATAACAATTACTATATTTACTTATACTACTTTATATTTAATATGAAAGGCGAGTATCAATAAAAATGATATATTCGCCTGCTTCCACAAAACACATTTTTATAACGTTCTTTACGAAAATTTAAATCCATTAAATTCCTTTTTGTTGACATATTTAGTGAGAAAGTCTTCTTTTTTATATTATTCAGGATTTTTCACGAACAACGAAACCATTCTATATATGTATATATTAAACTTACTGTTTGCATCAAATTTATTATAAGAATAGAATCCTAAATATTGCTTCAAAGGTGTATGTACTTTAGAGTGAAGTTTAAAATATTTTCAGACTTTTATAGACATATGCAAGTATGTTGATGGCGGTTGTAAGCAATACCAAGTAGTATCAGATAATTTGGGGAAACTATGCGACAAATACGCCAAGGACAACGTAGTAAGGGCGCTACAGATGGCTAAATTTAACACAGACTATTTTCCTCTCGATGTGGTTAGTATTAAAATTATTTTATCTTATCTATAAAACGAAGAATAATCTACTTCACCAATACTTAGGAAAAATAATTATTTAAAAAATTTTTTAAATTTATTTTCGAATTCTATTTTTAAATTAACAGCAAAAACTTTGATATCGTTTATCTTATCCATTATCTATGGCAATTGACCTTTATATATATACAAGTACAACCTTTTAAAAGTCTGGGATAAAAACTATCCTATGTTCTTCCTTAAGGTCAACTCTATCTCTGTGCCAAATTTCATTAAAATCAGTTCAGTGGTTTAGGCGTGAACGCGTATTTTCCATTGTTAACCCCCCGCAACCAACCTTGTGGGTGGAATTTCGTAAAATCCGTTCTTAGCTGACCTCTACTCGGCGAAAGGAATAATCCTACCAAATTTCAAGTCGCTACGCCTTATGGTTCCAGAGATATCGTGATGAGTCAATATATAGGTGGAAATCTCTTATATAATGTAGATAGGTCATAATCAATAAAATTTCAGGGTGAATATGACCTTGAGGATTTCATGATAGACTACTGCAGCTTCCCGTCGGACTGTCCGTTCGGTAGGTACGAGGCGATGACCTTCCTACTATCAGGAGGTCAAAGGGTCGCCTGCCTCAAGGTCATCGTGGAGTGCACCAAGTGCGAAGACGACGATGAATGCTGCGACGATGATGAAGAATAACAACCGGATATATATACATCATCGGCTAAATATATAGTTTTTACTTATAAAATATGTATTTTTTTATTGTTTCAATATCGTCGATAAAAAAATTAAAGTTAGAGTTTTTTGGATTCGATCAGAATAATATACGTTACAAACAAAAAGACTGAATTGACAAAATAAACAGTTTGAATTCGCTAGAAAGTGATACATAAAAATCAATATATATGTATATAAATACGCTACCAATAATATTTATATCCAATATCTTATCAAGGATATAGAATAATAGAATTTAGTGTTTATGGTTGTAGTACAATGGTTTAACTCTGCAAATTAGACGTACGAATACTAGATATATCAATTAAGTTATAAAGACGTCCGATTAGAATACTCCTATAAAACAAAAAAATGAAAACCATTATATACTCTTTGCCTATGTACCAAAGAAATATCTAAATATTTAATGGAGTCCTTTTGAAGATTTCAACTACAACACAGTCTCACATCTGATTAGAATAGACTATTATTTACTTTGCTTATATACTAAAGGAATATCTATATATTAACTGGAATCCTTTAGTACTATTTAACAGTACTTTGCTGTCTATATCCTTGCTATGAACTTTTCCTTAGTAATCCTTCCATATGTACCTGACAACCAGTTCGAACTGATGGTGTTGCAGCAGATGTTTGTTGGTAGGTAGTCGTACAGCCAGGTCCCTCACTAGCGCCGCGCGGGCCGCCGGCGCCCGCAGCGCGCGAACTACGCCTGGTAGGGACTTGCGAGCGTCCGCATACCGACACTCGAATATAGCTGCTATACACGACCGTAATACCTGCGGGTAGATGAATATCTTTATATATATAATTCTTCTGTGAGTGTGTATGTCACTGAACTTTTATCAAACGACTCGACCGATTTTGATGAAATTTTTTGTGTGTGTTCAAGGGGATCTGGGAATGGTTTAGATTCATAATTTTGTCCGCTGGATAAAGTTTTTTTAATTATTTTTTAATTTATTAGTAGTTGTTGATACAAACGTTTTATTTGACATTAGATTTGACAACTAACTAATATGTCAATCATTCTTTCGCACTCAAAACACGGAGATTTATGGCTTTAATAGGTAAACTCCAAAAATATAAATAAAAAAACGAAACAGATATTTCTTGATTATACGGCGATTCGAAGTTCGCCGGGTCTTCTAGTATATATGTATATAAATAAAGAAGAATTTGGAGATTAAGAACAAAATAAGTAATAATTAATATTTATATCACTTTAATTAGCATACAAATTATTTTTCTTTGTAAATATTCACAATCATCATCATTATCGGCCTATCGGAGTCTACTGCTGAGCAAAGACCTTTTCTCACTAATTACCACGCTTGCTAAAGGCAGATTAGCGATTTCACACTTATAATTGGAATTTATAAATCGAGGTATCCTCGCTATGTTTTCCTTCACCGACTGTCAGTTATGTCTAAATACTCTTAGAAAGTATATTTGACTCAGAAAAATCACATTGGTACTTGCCAGGATCGAACCCGCGCCCTCATGCATGAGAGGCGGAGCTTTAACCAGTAGGCCACCACGACTTGTAAATATTACAGCACTATAATTTTTATTTGTAAGCTGCCATTAATCTTTTGTAACTCTGTCTTATATTATTAATTTTTACATAAAAACCTGCGTATATTTAATTAAATATACAGATTATATACCTCGAGTCTCCTCGCAGAATTAGTGAGTATAAGCTGCGTGTGTTCAACAGCACCCGTTGGAGACGCTCCCGGGGGAATAATACGAGGAGCTGGAAGACGGAGTGATGACATCCTGGAAATAAATCAGTATTTATTGTATACTAGCTTTCCGCCCGCAGCTTCGCCCGCGTGGAGTTCGGTTATATTGCGTTTCCAAGAGAACCTTTCAAAAGTCTGACATAAAAACTATCCTGTGTTCTTTCTCAAGGTCAACTCATGTCTGTACCAAATTTCATAAAAATCAGTTCAGTGGTTTAGGCGTGAAAGCATAAGACAGACAGAGTTACTTTCGCATTTATAATATTAGTAGGGATCACAATAAATATACTACTTATGTATATAAGCTAGAGCTAGTCAAATATAAGAACCATCGATAAAACCCCCTGAATCGACTAATGGAACTTTTGCACAGATTTTGCTCAAGATAGGCACTATTTGGCTATTAGAATATGCGGTACTTCATACTTCTTGCAAATTTATCACAAAGGTCCAGAATAGTTTTTGCTTGCAAATCTTTACAGACGACAACAAATTTTAATCTTGATCAGATTGTACGAACATTAACAGTTACTTATTAACCAAAAAATTAGATTACAAGAGATCAATCTAATGAATATTGACTAACTTAACAGATGATGTATTTCTAGCAGCGAGGTCTCTCATGACTGCGTGTACTGCTCGCGGGTCCAGCGTGGGGAGGGGAGGTTGATGTATGCGGGCCGACGCTCCCTCGGGCGGGCGGAGTACACGCTGAGCATATGGTTGAGTAGACTGGGCCTGAATGGACAATAACATTTATTATACGTTATTTATATATATGAAGAGTTGAGACGAAACTTCTCAGCATTCCATGGATTCAACGTGCGGGTGCCGGGTCCACCGCGTTGCAGGGAGAGGAGCTTCAACAGTGACTGGGACTAAAAATTCGCGAAAACATATAATTAACGTCAAAATACTGTAATTTAGGGACTAAACGACCCTATTTTTGATTAGCTGCGCCCCGCGGATTTTCGAGATTTCCTGGATGTAAAGTAGCCTATATGTTATTCCTGGACGTCAGCTTCCAGTATACAAAATTTTATCAAAATCGGTTCAGCCATTTGAGCGTGAAAAAGTAACAAACATACACACACTCACAAAAACTTTCGCAATTATAATATTAGTAGGATTATAAACTACATACTCCCAATGTTTCGGCTACTTTTTAGCAAAAGTGATTAGTGAGTGTCAAACACAGTCGGGAGTATTTTTTTATTAAAGATATAATCACGTAGTATATTCCAAAAATATTAGTTTCATTTAAATGAACTCGCGATAATCTTAGATCTCATTATTATAATACGAAGCCTGAGAGTGGTTTTGGAGCATTTTGAACTAAATATACAGACTTACAAATAAAATGCAGAACATGTAAATATAAATATTTATGTCATATGAAAAATTATGGTAGAAATTAATATGAATGCACCTGTGGATTTGGATTTTCGTTCAAATGTAACTGCATAGCCAAATCTTGTATGTGCTGCAACTCTAGCTCGGGATTCAATGATTCCAATCTCAGTTGTTCCGGTAGATTTCTGAAAAATTATCACACAATATAAATTAAAACGTGTTCTAGTCCGTTAGACTTAAGCTGAGCTTTGCGTTTGTGTTAGTCAAAGTAAAAGTAGAGTTAGACAAAAAACTTTTAGAATTCAAATTTATTATTTTTAAATATACATAACATAAGTGCGAGAGGTAATCTAGATTAAAAATAAAATAAACGAAACATGTAAAAGGCTAAACAGAAATATTATGGAAAAAAATATTAAGTTATAAGAATTTTGAAAAAAAACAATACAAATTTTTCTTCATTTGACATTCCGTTTTCAACAATTGAAGTTGCTATCAGTACAAAGGGTGACGTGCGGAAGGCGCGGGGCGGAATAAAATCAGAACAAACCGGTTCAAAACTGTAAAGGAACGTGGTATACAAAAATGCAAAGCTCAGCTTAAATCAAAAGGCACTATATTTCGCTATAGGATTATATATCTTATATGATTGTCATAAGATCTGATACCCACTGCACTAGTTCGTCCCATATGTCCGTGGGGCGCCACGGTGGGCCTCGTTCAGCGACCAGGCCGTTGAAGAACATGGAATCGAGGAGTCGAGAGGCGAATGGACACTGGGACAAGCCTCGAGCTCCGAGGAAACCTGCCTTGTGGAATGTTAACACCGGAGATGGGTGGATGCGGATGATTGTGAGGCAGTGTCTGGAACATGAAGAAATAATTAAGTATACGACATATTATTAACATTAAAGTGGGCAAAACCAAGATATAGTTAATTTAAATATAATATTTTTTGGATTTACCATGCGATTTTTATTTTATAAACTACATACTCCCGACGTTTCGGCTACTTTACAGCCAGACGAGATACCAGATCGTAAAAAATAAAAATCGCGTAGTACATCCGAAAAATATTAGTTTCATTTAAATGAATATTCGTGAAAATCTTAGATCTCATTATGTAGCTAATTGTCTGATTCTACCGGCACAGATTTGTTTTGAACCTTATTCCTCAGACAAAAATATATAATGATTTATTTCTTTTTAAAATCAAATATCAATGTAAGTAAAAAATAAACAAAAAATATACATTAAATTTAAGTTATACAAATAAATGCTTAAACATTGACTAACATTTACTTAGAGAAGCTTACGATATTAAAGTACCTGTAACCCTGTAATAATTTGGCCAGCGTGCGCATGAAAACCGCTCTGATCTCCTTATCTAACATATGTGGTGGTGATGCCGATGGCGGTGGGGGGGCGAAGGCCGAGTCCGCTGACTTGAGCTCGGGTTGAAGCACTAGGGCTAGGGCTTCTTGCAACGACGATAACAGCTTGCCTTCCGGTCGAGGGATGTTCACACTCGCGGGAATATGAAGAGAACCTACATCCAGATCCGCTACTATAACATCTAGCTGCAAATTAAAACATAATTATTGGTATTGCCATATTTACATAAAGGCCTCATAAGATTTTTTTCACATACCAGCTCAGAAACCTCTTCTTTCAGACTAGCATGCACGCCGATGAGGAATGGAGTGGGCGTTGCTAAAACTTCTGCCAATCCCGTGGGCAGTAGCGGGATATAAACGTGGGCGTATCTGAATGGAAACATGAGCGCGGCGAGTGCCCGACATGCTGCCGATAACCGAGCAGCAGCCAGAGACACCAGCAGCACCTTATGCTCACTCATCACAGCACACCAGAGAGTTATAGAATTATGGATACCTGTGTAATAGACAGAAAACGATCTAGATTTAGCTGACTTAAACTCAACTCGAAAGCTTTTCTTTTAATATATAACTCACCAAGCAACCTCAGAAGCATATGCACAGCGGTGTGTGTGACCGGCATGGGGGGTGCGGCCGGTGGCTGCAACGCCTGCCGGTCTCCTGCACCGATACTGAATCGGACCTGTGGACCGCCAGCCGGTGGCACCGATACACATCCCAACAGGTTGCCGACTAACGTCTCCAGAGGTACACCCAGATTTTCAACCCACACCGTGTATATAATTCCGAGGCAGTTCTAAAAATAGACGTTAAAAATAAATACTATCATTAGGTAATCATAATTTGAACTATATTGATAAAAAAACAGAGGCTGGCTCTCAAAGTTAAATAAATCAGATTTAACAGAAAAATAAATATTTAAATTTTATAAAAATCTACTATTGTGTTTTCTCTTTTCATATTCAAAGAAGTTAATCCCTATTTTGCAGGAGAAAAGGTTTTTACAAAAATAATTAATCACAAAAATAGTATTCTTAGTCTTCGAGAAGCTTCAGAAATTAGTTTCTTTTAATACCATTTGGGGTAGAAAAGGAAAGAAAGTTTTTTTTATATTATTTATCCTCACCCGGAATGTGTCTATGTAGTCCTGTCTTGAAACTATGACCATACACTTTGGAGCGTACATTATACTGTGATGTGTGATGTTCGCTACCGGACGATTTGAATCTAGAGATTCTTCGTCCTGCAAAATAAAAAATATCTTAATTAACATACGTGTTAATACAGAACCAAATTTATGAGAAAAATAACAGTAAGAATAGTTATCATAATTTCAAGATACATATATTATTAAAAATTAAGTAGTTTATGAAATAGAAACATAAATATGTGTATGTTTTAGCTTAAAGTGTGAAGACATCAGTAATAGGTTGAAAAAGGAATAAATAATAAAATATTATATAATATATAGCTACTACACAGAATGCCGCCTATATATTACTCTGATATTTGAACTATATATTTAAAGTTTCATGAAAATCAATTTTTCTTCATGCTGCTGTCAATATTGCTAGGATTTTATTACATACGATTTCTTCCTTATATTATTTTCAGTTGTGTTAAGTAGGATTATCAAAAAATACATGACAAACTGCTTAAAGGTATTTTACTAATAGAAATCCAAAATAAGACACGAGACGTGTTTGAAAAAAAAAGGTATAACTAAAATTTTCTCTCATAAATATTCATACTGACATCCTTGAGAGCTGATAAAGAATTCGTCTACAGACAGATATTATGCAAAATATTATGCAGCATATCTGTCGTTCATAAAAAACGCCGACCCTTTCCCCTTGATCATGAAACCAGACAGGCAGTGATAAAATAATTGAACTTCCTAAAGCCAAAGACAGCGGGAAATTATGTGGAATTAACGTCAAAGTTTATTCATATTCAAAACAAAGAATTTAATAAGCGTTTTCTTAATAACTTCCACTAATATATATGTTATAATAATTTGCATTAATTATAAATATATGTCGCTTTTAATTATGAAATTAAAAGCTATTCATTCATTATAAATATATATCGCTTTTTAATTATAAAATTTAAAGCTATATTATACTTCACGATACCTTATTTTTTATAGTAAGTACACATTTAAATAACATTTTTTTTTAATTTGAAGCGTAAAAACGAGAAAGCACTAGATATTTAATACGAAAGACATTTAGTTTTATTGAAAATCAACGTTATTCTAAGCAAAGATTACAAACATTCTGTTATAATCGTACACAAAAACAGAACGCGTTGAGAATATGTTTATTCCTTAAATATATTTAACATTGCTTCTCAGAAGCTGAATCTGGCTGGACGGAACAAGTTTGTATGTGATACAGGGTTCAATAGCCCGATAACAAACCCCTCATTATTTGTGAATTAACTAGAATACAGATTGAGATGACGGTGATGGAGAGGGAAACGTACAGACATCTGTAACAATATTTTATAATATAAAGTTTTTTAATACATTATTTATTATAAGTATTAAATGTTTCGATTTAAAGCATATATTATTAGCTTTCCGCCCGCAGTTTCGCCCGCGTTAGTTCGGTTATATCGCGTTTCCAAGAGATCGTTTCAAAAGTGTGATATAAAAACTACCCTATGTTCTTTCTCAAGGTCAACTCTATGTCTGTACCAAATTTCATTAAAATCAGTTCAATGGTTTAGGCGTGAAAGCGTCACAGACAGACAGAGTTCCTTTCGCATTTATAATATTAGTAGGGATATATATAAATTATTTTAATAAAGAATGTTAACCCAATTAACCTATATAATTTCTATTTATCATTACTCTTCATTGATAAGAACATAGATGAGTTCTATGTTGGCAATACGCTTATGTTTATATCATCATATATACAGGGTGACTGGTGAATTACTATCAATTTTTTAGGAGCATACTCGGTACATGATTCTCATTTGAATTATGTAAAAAAAAAAGGTACTTAATTTTTGACCAAATTTCCGTATAAATAAATAAAGTGTTGACACGTTCCAAGTGTTCCAAGTGTGGACGCGTGCGGCGGCGTGCTGATACAACAACACGCCGCCGCGCGTGAGTGTGTGTGTGTGTGTGTATACCTAATCTGTAGGGTGTTCACACGATGCGTAATTAATTACATAACTTTTGGTTAACTTTACTTAGAAGTTTATTAATATTTATGTTATATTAATTTTTATTTTGTCATATATGATCGTCAAATATCACGTCCTCAAATATCGATAGTAATTCACCAGTCACCCTGTATATACATATAATATATATAAATATATATGTGTTTGTATGTATGTATGTAAATCAAGTGTTCCTACGTACGTGAAGGATCGCCACGTATGGCCGATCGCCATTGTTTTTACGTTGATCAGATAACGGAATATATGAATTGTATGTACGGTTTAAATATATATATCATATAACACTAATACATATATAATATACAAATAATAAGCACTGTAATTTTTTCTAAATATTGTTAATGAAACAATAATTCTTTTAACCATTATAACAACAAAAAGACTGCTTGAAATTTCTTTGATTTTGACAAAGACCATTCTATATCTAATGAAATCAGCTATTTAATAATTGCAATCCAATTTTGAACAACTTATAGAAAAAAAAATACATTTCTTTGCACAAAGTATAAATCCCTATATAGCTTAGAAGCTATAACAGAAGCTATATATAGATATGCAATCCTTTCAAGTGATTTCTATATAGTACTGTATGTACAATTCCTCGGATCCTTTACATCAAGATCTCCCCTGGGATGCTGTGGCTGACTAGTGGCTAGTGTTCCTCTCTAGAGATGTTTGCTTGGCGTATAGTATATGGTGCTACATTACACAACACATTGTGACGTCACACGTTAATGACTTGGTCAATTGTAAGCACACAAGGTAATAAATTTTAATGAAACCAATCAACCATGGATATTGTATCTGTTGAACGATTTATTTAATACAACTTTATGTATTCGTGAAATATTCTTCTGAAAGGAAATAAGAATGCAAATGACGATTAGTAAATCGTAATAATTCTAAGTCAGTGGTGGCCTAGTGGTTAAAGGGCTCGCCAATGTGATTTTTCCGAATCATATGTACTTTCTAAGCGTATTTTGACCCTACTGACAGACGATGAAGGAAAACATAGTGAGGAAACCTGGACTTATAATTTCAAAATTATAAGTTTGAAATCACCAACCCGTCTTAAGCCAGCGTGGTGATAAATGCTCAAACCTTCTTCCAGTGATAAAGAAGCCTTTGGTCAGTAGTGTGCTCTGATAGCCTGATGACGAATAATTCTAAGCCATTTCAATCTGTTCTTCACGATGAAAAATTTTTATAGCCACATATAATTTCCGCGTATTTATTTACGATTGCTTATCTACATACAAGTCATTCTTTTAACATAGTCAAAACCAATATACAGGGTGACTGGTGAATTACTATCAATATTTAAGGAGGATACTCGGTACATGATTCTCATTCGAATTATGTAAAAAAAATAGGTACTTAATTTTTGACAAAATTTCTGTATAAATAAATAAAGTGTTGACACGTTCCAAGTGTTCCAAGTGTGGACGCGTGCGACGGCGTGCTGAAACAACACAACGCCGCCGCACTCGTATGTGTGAGTGTGGGTGTATACCTAATCTGTAGGGTGTTTACACGATGCGTAATTAATTACATAACTTTTGGTTAACTTTACTTAGAAGTTTATTAATATTTATGTTATATTAATTTTTATTTTGTCATATATGATCGTCACAAATCACGTCCTCAAATATCGATAGTAATTCACCAGTCACTCTGTATATATAATCATCTTGAGAAGAGACCGCATTTATCTATACATAAAATTTAATATGCTTAATTTCCTTTCGCTATCTTACAAGAGTAATAAAATGTTATGCGTCTTACACTATAGTTATGAACACAATATGTTTAAAGAAATTTTCACCTTATAACATATAAGAACAGAGTCTAAAATGATTTCCTCTCAGTGTTATTAAGGACGTGATCTGGGAGCAATGAGTTTTTTTTTTGTTTTATTTATAAAATTGCGGAGTTTTTTTCTTTAACAACACATGCTTTATGTGTGTGTAATTACAATAGACACGTAATGATTGACTTCCTTAGTTTAAAAAAAACATCATGTACTCGTTATATAGGTACATATGTGTTTGAAAGCTTAAGCAACTTATGGGATCATTTAATTTAAAAAATGAGGATAGTTTTATACGAACTCTCAAAGTTCAGTTCGATCAGATTTAAAATTTATAAGATTTAGTATAGCAACAAAATAAAGTAGAAAAAGATATAAAAATATACAATTTTATAACACATCAACAGAAAGATGACACAAATAAAATAAATTAAGGAAGTATTAAAATTATATATTAAATTACTAAGGGAACATTGTCATTTATGGAATACATAACATTAGATAATTATAAACTATATGAAGTAATTAAATCAAGCAGACAAGTTAAAAGAATTTAGTGGTGTGTATATCGTTTATATGAATGAATATTTAAAGTATTATTTCTAACAAAAATATATAAAAACTCTATTTATTTGATCCGGGCAAGTACCAACGTGATTTTTCCGAGTCATATGTACTTTCTAAGAGTATTAAGGCATCACTTATCAATGTATTCCCAAAGAGGGTTGATGTCAGGCAGTCGGCCGATCGTAAAAAAAATTAACCAAAACTATTCACAACATGTAAGGCAGACCCTGGCTAAAGCTAGGAAATTGCCAGGTAGAAGAAGAATATAAAAACTCTATTCTTTAAGAACTACGATTTCAGTAATATTTTTTGCTTAAATACGATAAATCTGGTAATATAACATACAGCATAAACAAAGTCGGGGTTACAAGCTGGTTCATTACAAATATGAAGCCGAAACTTAAATTTAATTTACGAGCGGCCTGCAAAGCACATTCGGGATGAAACTGATGTTAGTATATAAAAGATGTTAAGAAATCCCACTAGTCCTATCCCGCCGGTTTGTCTGCGTAATATTTATACTAGCTTTCCGCCCGCAGCTTCGCCCGCGTGGATTTCGGTTATATCGCGTTTCCAAGAAAACTTTTCAAAAGTCTGGGATAAAAACTATCCTATGTTCTTTCTCAAGGTCAACTCTATCCCTGTACCAAATTTCATTAAAATCA